CAGCGAATAAAGGATGAGAACGCAGTGAAAACACCATGGTATGTCGGTGAGACAATGTAATGCGTCCTCTTCTTTATTCGCTGTTCTTCTCTACGGTTCGAAACTCGCCGGTAAAAACATCGGAGAATATACGATCATGTAAACACTGCTCGGCGATCGAACTTCTGGACTCCCCAAGGGGTACACCCCCCAGTGGTACGGGATGGTTTCAGCGCATCCAGGTAGAGATATTCGTGCATGTATGGGGAGTTTACTGTATAGAGGAGCGTTCGAACGTTTTACTTGGCATCTTGCAGAGCAAAAGAGCGTAGTAAAAAGAGAAAACGAAGTAAGGGAACGCGATCGTTTTATTCGTAGACGGTGCGCGTAATTCCAAGGAGCGGTACGATTGTCTACTCTAGCGTGTTCAACTACCGGCTTCTATTACGAGATATTCACGGACGTTTCTATATTTTTGTCCTCGTGTTCGGTTATTATTCGTTCGTACGATGGCAATGGATGGACACGGACAGACGACGAGTAACGGCGGATCGGTGAAAGAGGTGTTGAACGAACGGTGGATGAGGCGGGAAGGAGGGGGAGGGGGGGGAGGGGAAGGAGAACCGATTTCAGCTGAGCAAGCCAACGAGGAAAATACGTTACGCCACGCGGAAAATCGCTGTTGGTCCGAATCGTTCGAATTTCTCCATCGGCTGACCACGCATTAGCCTGCGCGATGTTTGCATTTGCGAGGTTTCGAAACGTCTCTATCGTATCGTTCCGTTGAACGACGATTTCGAAGACGTCGATTTCGCATCGGGAGACAAATTCCGAGAGATGAATCCGTTTGGCCGTGCGCCTCGCTCGTGGAAAGTTGGTAGCCTCGAGGTCGCGCTACCGGCTCGAAGGATTTTGTAAGGTCGAGCGCGTGACGTCCACGGCTGGATAAATCGTGCTTTGCATTCTCGATAGTCGACCGTCACGCCCCGGTCGCAGCGCCAACGCCAACGTCAGCGTCGCTGACTTTTCTGCGGGCCCGCGTGCAAAGTTAGGAAAAACGAAATCCGAGGTAATAGAAACTTAGAGGTCTCGGATCGGAACGGATCGCTCGATTCCGACGAATCATGGTCAAAGGTTGTTACACGACGATTCCGAGCGTCCGTGAGACTCGAAAAAGTAGGACCGCTCGTTTCGAAGGCCGGCTACTCGATGGTGACGCGTACGTGTCTTAAACTTAAACTACGTGATCGACGCGACGCGCGACGCGCGACGATGACAAATTAACCGCGCGAATCGTTCTCGTTCGAATTGCAATCATCGGACGAGATGGAACGACGAACGAACGACCGACGGATATTTCGAGGCATCGATATCGACGCTCTTCAGGTGCGTTCGGAAGTCTGCCGAAACACGAATCGGGATCCGAGACTCGATGTTTCGCGATGGCTGGTAAGAAACGATTCGGCGAGTCGGAGTACGCGTCGCGGAGCAGGAAAATTGAATTTCGAGCGGCTCGATGCGCTAAATGATGCATCCTCGAGGGGTTTAATCGGTCGACTAATCGTTGCGCAACGCGATCCCGTTGCTCGGGACTGTTGGAAAAGTCTGTTTGAAATGGGAAGGAAAGAGTCCACGAAACGTAAGGACGACTCCGATGGCGGAGAAACGGGACGCGATAGAAAGCAACGGTTCGCCGAATCGTAATCGCGATGCCAACTTTCTTTCCTTCGTCGCGTGCTCGTGTTTTCGCTCGGCGTCGTCGTCACGCCGCGTCGCGTCGCGCTGTATCGATATCACGACACGCTCCGACGGATCTTTGGAGAATTCAGCTCCAACCGAGAATCGTCGCGAACATCGTCGACGCCCGGCGTGGCACAAAGACAACGATCCATCGTTTCGATTTGATTGCAGGGGCGGCGGTGGCAGTGGGAGCGCTGATGATCATCGTTGCCGCAATTTTAGCAGCGATGTTTCCGAAACTCGTCGAGGTGCTGATGAACAGGGAAATAGCGCTCCGAGAGGGCGGTCGCACTTTCGAATGGTGGAGAGAACCTCCCCTCTCGCCTCAATTGAACATCTACATATACAACGTAACGAACGCCGATGAATTTTTGAACGACGGCGAGAAACCGGTACTGAAGGAGCTCGGTCCTTACGTCTACGTGCAACAGTGGGAAAAGGTCGACGTGAAATTCAACGAAAACGACACGGTGTCGTACAAAGTGAAGAAACAGTACGTCTTTTCGCCGGTAAGCGTTTCGGTTTCTTTGCCGTTCTTTGTAGTAGCCGATGAATCGCGAGTTCGAACTTTCTCGGTCGCGGGGCTACGTTTTCATTTTTCCCATGCTTTCTAGTATCCTTCGTTAGTTCACGTTCCCGCGTTACATCCGAGCCGCGTTTAGTTTTCGTTACTCGTTAAACGAAACGAAGCCATCGCGGAACAGGTATACACGTGAAATGAAAGATAGAACAAAAGGAAAATGGAAAATGGTTCGCGATCACAGCGCGATACGCCTCGCACGTTACGCGCTAGAACGCGATTCGGAAACGTTTTGCTCGAAACTCGAAATATACCAAAGAGACTCGCGACACGGAGCGAGTCCACTTCGAAGCGTGGAGAGTAACTCGTTTCGCGCGCGGTATGACGCAACGATCTCGCGGTGGTAGGTAACGATACGCGAGTTGAGTAAGATCGTAATAGCGGAGCAACGCGCTTCCGTGAATTAAAAGCAAAGCTGTACGTTTGGCCAACGCGACACGGTTCTCCGAGAGACGCGCGACACCTCGTTCCCAGTATTGTTACGAGGAACAATGTGGGTCGAGCGAGCGCCGACGCCAACGATTCGTGGTTTCTGGTACGCATCGACGAGCAGCTATACGATACCGCGATACGCAGAGTTGGCGGTATTGTCCGGTCATCGTAAGCGTAATTAATCGGAAGACGTTTGCAGGAAAAGTCGATCGGCTCAGAGGAAGATTTGGTCGTAGTGCCGAACGTGCCGATGCTATCAGCGACCAGTCAATCGAAGCACGCGGCGCGTTTTCTCCGACTGGCGATGGCTTCGATAATGGACATTCTCAGGATAAAGCCGTTCGTCGAGGTGTCGATCGGTCAGTTGCTCTGGGGGTACGAGGATCCGTTGCTCAAGTTGGCCAAGGACGTCGTACCGAAAGAGCAGAAGCTCCCTTACGACCAATTCGGTTTGATGTATGGGAAAAATTCGACGATGCCCGATCGGTTCACCATCTTCACCGGTCAGAGGGACATTTCCAAGTTTGGTATCCTCGACAAATGGAACGGGAAGGACAGCCTCGGCCACTGGACTACTCCGGAATGCGACAGCATCGCTGGAAGCGACGGCAGCATCTTTCCTCCTCGCATCACTCGGCAAACGGTCCTTAAAATCTTCGACAAGGACCTCTGCAGAGCGTTGCCTTTGGTCTTTAAGGTACCTTAAACGGTTTTTTGTCAACGTACGTTTCCGACGGTGTTCGAACGAAAGAGTTTCGTTTTAGGAGGAGGTCACCACCGCAGGCGGAGTTCCAGGGTTCAGATTCGTGCCTTCCAAGGACGCTTTCGGCTCCTCCAGCAGAGTGGAATCGCAACGATGCTTCTGCCCTTCGGGGCCGCCGTGTGCTCCCGAAGGAACCTTCAACGTTTCTCTCTGTCAATACGAGTCACCGGTCTTGCTCAGCTTTCCGCATTTTTACCTCGGTAAGATATTCGGTGATTACCTTTGCCGCCTTTCCACCACTTTTTCCTATTCGTTTCTCCAACTTGTTTCATATACATATGTATACATATGCATATACGTACGATATACATATTTAACAGTTTGCGTTAGGTTAGTGTTAGGCTGAAAAGCTTTCGCCGTAACTCGCTACACTGGTTACGTAGTTGGTTTACTTATTCCAGCTATAAATACTTGGAACGTGCAATCGTTTATCTCGGAAAAACGGAATATTATTTCGCTGGTTTTCCCCGAGGTTCAAAGGTTACGGCTAGGAACCGGTTCCGTCCGTCGAATTACGAAACGATTTAGCGAAGAATTTTCCGCACGGTATCGCTTTAAATCCGAACACTCCGTGTGCGGTTCCCATACCGTGTGCGCGTAATGCTTGACTTAAACCTAAACGGAGAGTCGTTTCATTTGGAACATCTTTACAGCGGATCCTTCGTTGCGGGAGGCAGTAATCGGAGTATCCCCACCGATCGAGGAGAAGCATCAGTTTTTCATCGACGTTCAGCCGATGATGGGCACGGCGTTGAGGGCTAAAGCGAGGATTCAAATAAATCTGGCGGTCAGCCAGGTAAGGGACATCAAGCAGGTCGCCTCGTTCCCGGATATCGTTTTTCCCATATTATGGTTCGAGGACGTGAGTATCGCGCGTGGTTTTTCATTCTTTTATTCGTTCACGATTACGCGATCGTGACGCGTCTTCTTCCAACGTTTTCAGGGCATCGACGAGCTTCCCGACGAGATGCGAAGCCTAATGAAGATGGCTGTGGACGTTCCACCGATAGCTCGCGCGGCGGTGTCCGGAACTCTGGCAGCGATCGGCGCGATCGTTCTGATCGGGGCGCTCGTGTGCTTGGCGCGCGCCGCGAAACGCCAGGAGAAACTCCATCTGAGCAATCCGTTACCGTCGAATGCCAGCTCTGGGAAAACCGGGCAACTGAATCCGGCGTTTCAGAATTCCTCGAGTTCAAAGTAGGGAGCTTTCGAGCAAAAGCGTCGGCGTCGCTCCCGATCGCGAGCGCGAATCGATTAGTGCGCGTTGATCTCGAAAGGTATTGTAAGAAACGCGAATCTCGTGCATCGCTGGTTCGTTTGGATCCGCGGTCACGACGAGAATCGACGCGAGTTTGCGATAAAAGGGGAATCGGTAAACGTAAGCGATGGAAAGGAAGGAGACTAGGCGAGAACTGGTGTTGCACGTCGCGTAACGTTAATTCGACCGTGTTCGACCGACCACCAGCCGTGTTTCTCCGGTCTCGGTATATTTCCATTGTTCGAGCGTACGATCGCGTTCAATATATTTTTATAAATCTACCTATACGTTGGAGATGGGATATAATTGGAAAGAGGTAATAGGGTAGACGTTTGCGGAGAGGCTGTAACAAATTCGAAATCCGGTATAGGGTTAGAGACGATCGGGTTCCGCCGATAGGTGCGTGGTACCGAAGAGTAACGCACGTTACTCGTTCGCCAACAGTCGACAAAATTGTTCCGTCCAATGCGCGCATATCTACATATGTATATACGCGCATATTTATATAAATGTATACACGCATACATACAGAAAGACGAAGACAAAGCATACACGCACACGCACACCCACGCGCATACGTATACATATAGATATACATAAACATATACATATACATATACATATACATGTACATAATCGATCCTGTGCACGAGACCCGATGCGAGCCGAGTCGTTGTCGTCGTTATTTTCCAACTTGGACGATGTCGACGTCGCCAGAGATCTTATTGTTATTCATTACCCGTTTGTGTATATGTATCTCGTTATAACAAAGCGTTACTACAAATAGATTACAGTTAGGTTTTTAGACGAATACAATTTTCTACGATGGAGCACGAGAAGTTGATGAAATAGCCAAATAGTTTCGAAATCGGACGATTTCAAACAATTTTATGGAAACTAATAAAAGCGTCGAACAGGTATTTGCTCAATGTTGTTGTCGACGGTGCGGAGACCTCGTTTCTGGTCCGAGTAGAGACGAGACGAGTTGAGACGAGTTGTCTGGCCGTTCGAACGATACCCCGCGCGAATTCGATGCGCGATAACGGAAAAAAAGAAACGAGTCTGTTATCTCACATCTTGGAAAATGTTGTCGGAACAGGTTATCGGTGTCGATGGAAAATACATTCGTCAGCATAAAGTTTGCGCACGCGTTTACATTCACGTTTACGTTCGCATTCACGTACGATCGGAGACGTCGAGATCGTTCCTCGATAAATCGAGCGCGTACGCGTGTCGAACGTTATCGCGTCTATACGTATTCGAAACGAGCCACCAAGGACCGAGTGTGATCGATCGCGAACAGCGAACCTTTGTTGCTCCGACAAGTAACGCGATATCGTAGCATCGGATCGGTGTCCAGTGAATTTCGCGGTAAATTCCTTGTTATGACACGCGCTCGCGCCATTGAAACAGCCATTGTCCTATTCGATCGGCACGCTAACCGAAACATTTACGCGGATACAACCGTTAAATGGAAAACCGGGTCGCGAATGTCTCCCGTTGGAGCGAGTTTCGTTGGAGAGGTCTCGCACGGCTTCGTCGATTCAGGATCGAGGCCCGCGTTGGTTTCCTCGTTCTTCTTGAACGTGGCAAAGAAAGCCGCGCAAGACAGGATCGCGCAAACGAGACTGCACCATTGTAATCCAGCTTCGATGCCGCTTACGACGTAATGGCCGCGATAGAAAACCTCCTGCATCGCTTCGGGTAGCTCCTCTATTCCGGAATCTATCCAGACCAAAGGCAGAATCGAGCCGTCCTTGAGATTCCCTGCGAAGGGCACGCCGGTCGCTTTCCGCACTTCGAGATTCACCTGAAACTTCATTCTGGTGGCGATCGTGACGGCCAGTATCTGAAACGGACAGCAGCGTAAATTGCCGGTACGCTTGGCGTCGCGAGCACAAGAGAACGCATCGAGATACGTACCGGGTGAACGTCGATGAAGCTCTCGCGGTGTTCTTCTCGTGGTGTCAGCCCGTCGATTCTCTCGAACAGCGACTTGTCGCCCGAGTGAAAGTGAGGGAACGAGAGGATAAACGGAGCGCCGAAATTGCAAGCGGAAACGTTGAACGTTCCGAGCGGAGGACATTTTCCCGTGGTCGAATCGTCCGACTCCTTCGGGCAAAAACACGAGTTTTCGTCGCGTGTCGACGTGAAAACGTCGCTCGGTACTTTGTACCTAAAACGATCGAACTGGTGAAAAGCGTTACTGAACGACAACCTTGCTTCCGTCTCGGTTTCGGATAGGTCGGAAAATGTACTCGTATTAGATCCACCGGTAAGTTCTGTCCATTAAAAACGGTATACAAATTGCAATCGCGCCGGCAACATTTCATAAATAATGCTACAAATTTTATTTTACTATCAAATGGACAGAACTTTCTGGTAGACCAAATACATGCTATAGCATAAGCGTGAAATTAACGCGCGCTCACCTCAAGCTCGGAATACCGCTGGAGATGTGACGGCCTTCGTAACGAAGCGGTATTGCCCTGCAGACGTCTTTCGCGTAGATGTAGACGTCGGATTCCGGCCGTTCGATCCACTGGGGTGGAAACATGCTGCCGTCGGTGCCGTACACTCTGTCGCACGATTCGTTCCCCCAAATTTTCCGTACCTTCTCTCCGTTCAACCGTTCGATCAGTCCGATCTTTCCGAGATCCCCGACGCCCGTGTGAATCGTGATGCGATCCTCGTTCACGGCGTTTCTCTGAAATCCACGTGGAGACCGATTGATGACGAGCATTCGACTCGATACGTTTCGATTTCGCCGACTACAAGCAAAGGGCAACCTACAAACGCGAGAATACCAAACTCGTCGAAGGGCAGATCATGCTTAAGGGAGGCGAAAGGCTTGGCCATTTGGAAAAGCTTGTCCTCGTAGCCCCAGAGGTACTCCCCTACCGTCAGTTCGAGGAACGGTTTCGTGCTGACGCTCGATAGAATCATCGTCAACAAGAGCTGCATCGGTAACGGCAAATTTCGGGAATAGGCAAGCGTCGACATCAACAGCACGTTGGGCACGATCACCGTTTCGTTCTCCGACTCGCCAGACACCCATCGGTAGCTTCTTTTCTCTTGATACGTTACCGTTCCGTTTTCGTGCAACTCCACGTTCACTCGGTTCAGATTCTCCCGATAGGTAAACGGTCCGACTTCTTGCACTCGCAGCTTGGACGCGTTCCCTCTTTCGAACTCCCGCAGGTTCGTGTAATTGAACACGTACACGTTGAAAGTGAGTCCAACGGGGGGTCGTTGCCATAGCAAGAAGGACGTGGTGCCGTTCCGAAGCTCGAGATTCGATAGAATCGTGTTTCGAAAGACGTTGGTGAACCAAAACACCGCGAATACCACGATGCTCGTTAACGCGACCAGCCCGTACGACCACCGAACCCGTCTCCTCTTCGCTCCGTCGAAACCGTTTCGAATCGCTCGCGCCAACATTTTCTCCATCCTCTTTTTCACCGTCCTTGGTATCGGCGATGCAGCGGTCAGCCGATATACTGTCCCGATGATTCCGAGCTCGAGATTCTCGTCCGATCGTTTCTCCGTTTCTTCGTTCGCGTTTTCCTCGACTTACCGAGTTCTCTCGAACACGACGACAGAGTACAAAAATCTCCCCACCTTTCCCCGATTCATCGATAACCTCGTCGCAGCGGCGATGACCCTCGTTCGCCACCAAACTTAGGACACGCTGGGTAATCCTCTCGTTTGCCGAGCATCGCTTACGTCGACGAACCGTTCTACCTCCCCTTGCCTCTTTCTTCCCAGACATCCGCGATTCCGTTTTCCCCCTTTTTTCCGCTCCGTCGTTCCCTGTGCGGACGTAACACGCCGACGTACTTGTCCGTGACATTCTCGTTCGTCGCGAGGATTCCACTTTCGTTCGTTTCTCGCCAACAGATTTTTCCTCTACTCGCGTCGTCTTCCGCGAATCGAACGAAACGCGAGAACCTGGAAGGAAGGACAAAAGGACGAACGCGCATCTCGTAACCACCCTCGAGATCCGCCGGAAACCAATGTTTCGGGACTCGAGTCGTTCCCGGACGAAAAGTGTCGTTGTCTCTCTTTTTTTTAACCGCGGTAAATGGAAGCGAGAACGCGGCTTTAGTCCGGTGGCTCACCTTAAGCGACCGCTCGTTTAATCGCGTCCGGTCTCGTCTCGTTTCTTCTCGTCTCGTCTTGTCTCGTCTTGTCTCGTCTCGTCTCGTCGCGTGCGTCGCATCTCGATGCGCTTCGACGCCTGTGATCCGATTTCATCGAGACCGTTCGATGTTGTGACTGGCAGATGCCCTTTTCACCCGCTTCTTCTGCATTTACTTGACGCGCGTTGTTTGGTGTTTGTCGTCTGCCTTTTACACGCAGACGTAACGAGTCGTACGATAGATACGAGACTTCGTAACTGCGCTTCTTATTCGCTGTGCTACGATTACGCAAGGAACTGGTCCGTGAGATTCTCGATTCGCCGAGTATAGCTATAGGAACACGAGCGAGTCGGAGGACCTACATACGTTACCTATACTTATAATTTGAAGCTCGTTAAACCGGATCTACTCGATCTCCCGTTACGTTTTCGAAATCGCTAGCAACGGTCTAGGTTTGCCGCGTGATTCGTATCGTTTTGTCGCGCCAAAATTCCATCGACGGATGACGAAGCTTCGATCCCAAAGAGACCGTGAAAAAAGGCGCTCGTATCGGTTTTTTATCGGAAAAAGGTTACGAGTCGAAACAGACGATAAATTATCGAATAAAGATGTATTCTTCGCTAAAAATAAAATACGTGTTCAAGTCTCGTATTCCAAAAAGTCGACCATAAATACTCGATGTAGCGTTTTAACAAACCTTTTCATAGCACGAGTAAACTTGAACGCGAATCTAATTATCCGATGGTAAAGTTTGAAAAACTCCGCCGAAGGTTTCCAAGGTTCACCGGCACCGGCAGCACCGTCGTACTCTCGTGCCAGCGAGCGAGAAGCGAGACCTCTCGCTCTTCTCTTCGATTATTCTGCGAATCTGCGGTGTTGCATGGCTTTGAGTATACATATGGACTCATATATTCTATATTCTCATATACTCTATTTCTCTATACTCAAAGTTGCATGGTGCTAGGTGTATGGTGATTTGGTGAGTAGCTTTGGTCATTGGTACACAGTATTGTACTCATTCGACTGTATTGGTGTCAATTGGTGTGGTACGGTGGCATGGTGTAGGGGCGTAAGGTGTAGGTGAAGAGTAGCATGGAAAAAGAGTGATATCGAAGGATAAAAATAACGAATAGTTGAAACGGGGGTAGCATTCGCTTACGAAACAAGAGGAATCGTCTTGTACGGTGTTGAACGATGGATTCGAGCGAAGAAAATCTTGTCGGTGGACGTTGAGGCGGATCCTTTGGGCAAAGGCGAGCCGCATAACCTAAAAATTTGTTTTCCATCGAATCGAGGAATTCGAACGAGTGAATCAAGCCTGTCGAGGGCCGGCCGGCCGGCCGATTTTTTGGAGGATCTCGTCTGATCAGAGAAAAGGATTCGTTTCGCAAATAATTCGCTTCGGACTCGTCGAGTCTAGTCGATCGGTTCAGTGGATAATATGAGTTCGCAGCAGAGTCCGGCAGCGTTGCAGTCCACGGTGGATCGCGAAAAAGTTTACGCCTGGATAATCGAGTTATCGAATCCTGAGACGAGAGAGAACGCGTTGCTAGAATTGAGCAAGAAGCGCGAGGTCGTTCCCGATTTGGCGCCCATGCTCTGGCATTCTTTTGGTACGAGCGCGTCGTTGCTTCAAGAAATAATAAATATTTATCCAGCCATTAATCCAGCCACACTTACTGCGTACCAGAGTAATAGAGTCTGCAACGCGTTGGCACTTTTGCAATGCGTGGCTAGTCATCCGGAAACTAGATCAGCATTTCTACAGGTAACAGTCTAATTTCTTAGCAAATATCGTCTATTTTCTATCGTCTATATTCCATCATTTACTCCTTTTCGATTTGTTTTCAATTCTTCCAGGCTCATGTGCCGTTATTCTTGTATCCGTTTCTGCACACGGTCAGCAAGACCCGTCCGTTTGAGTACCTGAGGCTTACCAGCTTAGGAGTGATAGGAGCATTGGTAAAAACTGACGAGCAAGAGGTGATTACCTTCTTGCTCACCACAGAGATTATTCCTCTATGTCTGCGAATCATGGAGAGCGGTTCAGAGTTGAGCAAAACCGTAGCCACCTTCATTTTGCAAAAGATTTTGTTGGACGACAGCGGTCTGTCGTACATTTGCCAAACGTACGACAGATTCAGTCACGTCGCGATGATTTTGGGGAAAATGGTACTGTCCTTGGCTAAGGATCCTTCCGCCAGATTATTGAAGCACGTGGTTAGGTGTTACTTGCGCCTTTCGGACAATCCAAGGTAAAGCCGAATTTGATCGGTAACGTTGAAACGCGTTCGTTTAATATTCATTTATTTTTGGATGTTTGACAGGGCGTTGCTGGCGCTCAGACAATGCTTACCCGATCAGCTCAGGGACAATACGTTCGCCACGTGTCTGCAAGAGGACGCCTCAACCAAGCACTGGTTGAATCAACTGTTGAAAAATCTGGAAACCGGGCCGCAACCCGGACCACCGGCGCAGCCCGGTCAGCAAGACCCCAGAACGATCGGTATGTCGCCGCTCGCCTCTTGAGCCTTTTGTGGGTTGCGAAGAACGACGCGTTTCAATGGGACGTGAAAGAAGAAACTTTACGTAAAACTTTACGCTCTCTTTTCTTTCGCTTTACATTACGTTTCTTTTCTTTTCTTTTCTTTTTTCTTCTTGTTGGTATCCCGCGCGCGTGTTACTTGAACCGACACACGATTGCAATCGTTGTTCGTGTAAGGGTTGCAACTTAAAAATACATATGTACATATATCGTTTCGATATTTCTATCGGATGCGTTGTAGCGACTCTCTTTTCCTTTGGCTATAACGATCCTCTTGGTACTCGACGGAACGGAACGGAACGAGCCGCGAGGCAGATCTAGACCTGTTTCGGGCAAATATTTGTTCGTTTCGGATCGAACGAGTTGCGTCCGTGCTCGTCACGGGCTCGAGAGAACCGTTCCGATCTTGGCGAGCTCCACGGTCTCCTGCGAACCGAGATATCGCGATTAGATCAGAGACGTTCGTTCGCGCGGTTGATAACGTTGAAAAATTTACCTGCCGACTCGTGGCGACTAGATCCGAGCTTAGAAAGCCACGTATCAGCGGCGTGTACAATTTCTCGTCTCCTGGTTTACGCACGTTTGCACCGGTAATCCAAGAGACGAGTAGACCGAGCAGAATCGCGGTTAGAAATCCAATCCACGTGTACCAGAGGTAGGACACTCTGTAAAGAAAGAACGGCTCCTCTCTGAAAACGTGAAAGAGAATCCGTATTATGCGGAGAAACGAAACGCAGGCGTGCGCGCGTAGCAAGTTGGATCGAGAGTAGAATCGTCCTCACCTTGTTACGGTTTCGATGACGAGCGTTAGATTGCCGATTCTCGTCTTGAGCGCGTCCGGGCATCCGTCGACGGACACTGGTTTCACAGGGAAATTGATCTTTCCGGTAGAGATGGCTGCCTGAGTACCGAACGAGATCCAGGCGACGAGATTCAGACTGACCAGCCCGCCGACCAGCGCTCCCTGTCGCGTTCGAACCGAGACACAGATGTCGGAAGAGGAGCAGAGTTGGCATGCAAAGAGACGTTAAACGGATGAGGCGCGAGTGCGAATTTGCAGATGCGTCGTGTCCCTTACCGTTGAATTTGCAAAGGGAAAGAACATTCCGAGGGTGAACATTCCGAGCAAGGGTCCCGCTGTTATCCCCGACAAACTCTTACCGGCCTGCGAGACGCGAGACGTGAGACCAGACGATCGTTGAAATTATTGCTCGTCACGGATTGACCGATTGGATCCGGATAGAGATAACTAGACAGACGGATAGGTGGATAGAGAGAGAAAGGACGGAAAGCTTCACCTGGATCAGTCCGGTAAGTTTCTCCACGAGGAAAACAAGAGCCACGCAGACCGCTCCAATCGCGACTACGATCGCCTTGATCGTTCGGCTGGCCGTCGCTTCTGAGACTGGACCGCGCAGCCATGGCTTTATCATGTCCCCGTATATCACTCCAGACATAGAGTTCAATCCAGTGGACATGGTGCTAAAAAAACGGTATGTCGAAATGCGAGTATAGTTAACTTTGTTTAAAACTAACAGAGTCGTCGTTTATTCGTCGCGCGTGATATCGAATTTTATTCGCCGGTGAAAATTCGAATTATTGTAAAGAGCGCTCGTTGCTTCAAATCGTTATTCAATATAAACATTGATCCGAGGAGACGAGTGGCACGTATGTAATTGTATTTCATTGAAAACATAATTGTGAAATAAATTATTTATCTATTAATTATTCATCTGTTTATGGATGCGCATGTATCGTATACGTAAAAGCGAAATAATCGACTGGTAATCTTTAAGCGCGAATGGGGAATTTACGAGTTTTCACCTGAGGGCGGCGCTGAACACGCCTGCGACGAAGAGTCCGGGTAATCCGGGGATCGAACCGGCCATCTCCATCACGAAATACGGTAGCAGTTGGTCCGCTTTCCTCAGTTGCTGAAACGAATCGAAGAGAATGAGAAGAGCGAACACGTAGCGTGGCGAGGCTGAGACAAAAGCAGACGTCGAAAATAGTAGAAGAATCGCGTTACCTTGGTCGTGACGGGATCGCAGTCGTGAAACGCCGCAAAAATGACGAGACCGGTATAACAGCTCAACGAAACGATACTTATAATTCCAATCGCCATTATCGCGATAGTTCTGTAGACAAATGGTCGTATACCTAAACGAGAAAAAGAGAAAGGCAAAGGGTGGTAAAACGACATACGCGTTGGCCTTCTTCAAGTTGGGCATCGAGAGACATCGTTGCACCATCGCCTGATTCACCGAGCAGGACGCCAACCAATTCAAGTAGCCGCCAACGACTACGGTCCAAAAGGTGTGTCGCACCGTCGGGTCCGGGTTCATCCTATCGATCGGGAATATGGAAACTTTGAACGTGGAATCTCGAAGGCTTGGCTGCGCTCGAGGGCGAAAAGTCTCTTACTCGAAGAATTCGATTCTGCCGGTGTCGCGATTTCTTTCCCAAACTCGTTCGATTCCGCCTACTCGCAAGGTACCGAGAACCGCGACGACCACCACTCCTCCGAACATGACGACCGTTTGAATAGCGTCCGTCCACACGACCGCCTTTAACCCGCCCTGAGAAACGCGCACGGTATCGTAATCGTATTCTATCTTCAGTTGGAAAATTCCAGACTAAAATTTGGCTATCCCGAATTCGAGATATCCGAGCAAGCGGATACTTTGCGCTTTCCTCACCAAGGTAGTGTAGAATATGCAGACGGCGCACACCATCAGAGCGGTTGCGTGGAGGTTCATTCCCGTCACTTGATTGAACGCCAGCGCGGGCACGTATATCACCAGCGGGATGTAGAGTAGCTGCAAAAATTAATTCGATTCCGCGTTGTTCGGTCGCGATCGTCGTTGCAACCTTTTTCACTTACCATTTTGATCAGAAATATTACCGTGCCCGTCAGTCGAACGACGTTGTTGAACCTCAGATTCAAGTACTGAACATTCGTACGGATTATTATTTCAAAATTATTACTTCCAAGTAGTAATCGACGAGTTTCCAAATTGGTGCGATCGTGTAGAAAGAGAAACTCGAGACTCCGCAGTTCCCGACTAAAGGGAACATACGGGTGGCGCATACGTACCTCGTAAGAAGAAGTTATTCCGAGGTCGTAGAACACGGGTAAATAAACGACGGCCATCGTCAGAGAGACGAACGAATCGGAAATGATGACGCACCAGAATTGCGTCCCGTAGACATACATCTCAGCTGGTAGCCCGAGAATCGCTATTCCCGATATGTAGCTGAAAAACGAATAGTCGGAACCAGGGTGTCTGTATCGAACCCTGGGGAACGATACGGAATCGCAACGGGATTGAAACCGGAAACTAATCGCATCCGTATCGTTCCTCTTCGATTCCCTCTGACCCTCGCACTCGCGACTTTAGCCGTTTAAACGCGTTCACCCGGTCACATGGATAGCCGGTAAAGCGTGAAACGTAAAGCAATCGGTTCGATGGCGGAACCGACGCCGAAGACTACTCGAAGAGGCAAATAATCGATGCCGTCGCGCCGCACCGGGTGGACGTGCACGTACGCAGTCGATTGTTCGCACGCGGTTTACCTGGCTATCAGAGACATGCTTATGGGAAAGATGTCCATCTTTTGCCCGCCCATTAAATACTCCCGAACCGCATCGGTGGTTTTCCTCGATTTGTACGCTTGATAGACTCCGACGATGGCAGAAATTCCCAGCATTCCGGCAAACACCGCGCAATCGATCGGCTCGAAAGATCTTTGCGCCGAACCATCGGCGTCGCGGTCGGTGGTCGGATCCATGATTGCTTCCAACCCTCGTTTCCCGTTTGGATGGTTTGGTCTCGCCTCGTTGATGCGAATGTCCGCGAACGAGAAACGATACTCGAAAATGCGGCGTCGCGTCGCGTAGCGTCGCCTATCCTCGCGTTTCGTGGACAACCGTCTCGGTCGAAAACGGTGCGTTTCTGAGCCGCGGAACCGTCGACAACCGCGACGATTAAGCGAACCAACTCGGAGAGGTGATTGAATAATTGGGGATTCCGTGGTTATCGTTCCCACTCCGCTTCCTTCGTTGGCTCTGGCGATCTCGCGGACTCTTGGCGTCGCTCGTCCTCGTTCTCCTCTTCCGTCGGTGTCGCGATTACGAGCAGCAATCGAATCGAGTTTATCTTCGTCCTCGAGTCGACTGATTTTCATATCACGGATACCGATCGTTGCCGAAAAGTTTGTCAGAGTCGCGACGTGTCGTTTCGATTCGATACCCGGGTTGGAAACACGAGAGCAGAGTACGCGCGGACCACCAGCCGCGTTACGCGGATAACCATTTAACGAAATTGCTCATCTCCCTGCCTCTGTTTACTCGTCCGATCGGTTTACCCGCGTATCGTTCGCTTCCCGCCACTCGCCTCCGCCTCCGCTTTCGTCTCTGTCTCCGCTACGACCAAGGCCTCCCGCGAACCGTACCTTGGTATGCGATTAGAAAATTTCGCATCGCGTTGACATGGCGCGCGCCCCGTTACCATCGACGAACAAGACCGGTAGGAGGATTCGATGGTCGGTTCGTTCGTCGAATAATATTCTAAAAAGAGATGGAGCGAACGCGTGTCGAGCGAGCTACGTCGACGAAAGGCTGATCCGCCGACGCTTTGTTTTCGCGATCGATTATCCGTCTTTCGGAAAGTGGAATCGGCCACTCCCTCGAGGGACCCCGACCCCGAAGGCTTTTCAGCGGTCTCGAGTCACGATCGTTCGTCTTGGTCGGATACTCGAGGCGGTCGCGCGACTCGTCGGTTCGACGCGAAACCACTTCTGCTCCCTTGAGACAAAAGAGATAGAATCGTCGGACGCGAGAATGATCGGCGTGCTGCTGGTAACGATGGTGCTCGGGTGCGGAGTGTCCTCGGAAGGCAGAGTCGCGGTCGCTTACGCGAACGTGACGGGCGACATCGTGCTAGGTGGCCTGTTTCCCATTCATCGAAGAGGCAACGGTGGCGAGAGTTGCGGCGAGATCCAGGCAAGTCGCAGCTCGCATCGCGCTCCGATCCGATCGCTGTAGCCTATTCTAAAGGTTCGTTGATTCAGATCGAGGACGGAATTCAACCGTTGGAAGCTATGCTGTACACCATCGAACGCGTCAACGACGATCGAAGGATTCTTCCGGGTATACGGCTCGGCGCCGTAGCCTTCGACACCTGCGACAATCCGAGCTACGCTCTCGAGCAAGCGTTCTACTTTGTGAAAGGTAACGCGTTTCGTCACGTTTCTTTCCTTTTCTCGTTCCTCGATGGAACTTCCTTCCGTAGGCTTTATCGCGCGCGACAATCGGCTGACGGACTACTCCGAGTACCGATGCAACGATCGGACCGCGCCAAAGTTCATGGACGGAGGATTCGACGACGTGGTCGCGGTGCTCGGCGCTCAATCGAGCTCGGTCACGATTCAGGTGAGAAGTCTCGGAAACGGTTCGAGAGGCTGAAATCGCGCGCGTCACTTTGGTTTGCTCGATTCCCAGGTCGCCTCGGTGCTGGCATTGTTCTCGGTTCCGCAAGTCTCGTACATGGCCACGTCGGCGTTTCTAAGCAGCAAGGAGAGGTTCCCGCATTTCTTCCGCACGGTTCCGAGCGACGTGAACCAAGCACGCGCCATGTTAGAGATTCTACGGTAAGTAGATGACGAGGAGAATAGAGCGACCGCGTAACGTTTGTTTGTTTGTTGTTGTTGATGACGCGATAGCAGACGGTTCAACTGGTCGTACGCGTCGGTAATTTACTCGGATACAGAGTACGGCGATCACGGATACGAGACGCTGGCGTCGTTCGCTGCCGAGTATTCCGTCTGTTTCACGGGGCCGCACCGCATCAGCGAGGATCGGTTCGCGAGCTCCGATTACGAGGACGTCGTTCGCACGATCGCCGAAAAGACGGATGTTCGAGGTGAGGTAGATCCGTAATGGACGCTCTCGGAAGAGAGGGTAGGGTGCACGCACGGGTACAGGATCGACGGTGGTCGAGTGTTACAGTGGTGGTGCTGTTCGCGGAAAAGTCGACAACGCTGCGCGTTTTGGAAGCGGCGAGGCGCGTGGGAGTCGGGTCGCGATTCGTTTGGCTTGGTAGCGACTCGTGGCCGGACCAGAGGGACGCCAACAACGAAGAAGCCACCCTGTTGGAGGGTGCGCTCGCTGTTCAGCCGCTCTATGCCCCGTTCGCTGGCTTCGACGAGTACTTTACCAGCTTGACGCTCGATCATCAAAATATTAACCCTTGGTTTCGCGAATTCTGGCGGACGTATCACGATTGCGAGGACGACGATAACGTTCGAGAGGCTTCGAAAGGATGCTCGAGTTCGAAGGTAAGTCGAGTCGAGACCGTTTCGTACGTTGTCCGAGGTAGTATCCTTTCGTCGCGAAGGCGCGGACTTGCTGCACGGATCCTAAACTGAGGATCGAGCGGACCAACGGTTACAAGCAACGGAGATTTCTCCACTTTGTACGCGACGCGGTGTACGCGGTGGCGTACGCTCTCGACGACGCGCGAAGGGACGTCTGCGGGCAAGATTATCACGGCATTTGCGACGAGATGCGAGCATTGTGCGCCAAAGATTTCTCTCGTTACCTGGCCAAGGTGTCGTTTGAAGGTAACGGTGAAACGGACGCGGACGTAGCCGGCGTCGGTTACAGTCGAATTTTTTCCTTTCAGACGAAGCGGGACACGAATTCGGGTTCGTGGACGCGGTCGACGGTCCTCCGAGGTACTCGATCCTGAACTATCGGCGAGCGGCGAACGGCTCCTATCAGTGGCTTGTCGTTGGGAATTACACGCGTAAGCAAAGTAGCGAGATTATTTGCCGAGCCGCGAAAAAGACGGATCGTTGCGTTGCGTATATGTAGCATGAGGTAGGTATGCGCTAAATGCATGGTGGGCCTCCGCGTCAGTGAACGAGGAAGGCAGAGCGGAGCTTCGATTGGACCGCGAGAACACGAGGTTTCGCGGTGACCGAGCCGACTTTCCCGCTTCTTCGTGCTCGCAACCCTGCGGTCCCGATCGTATCGTGGTCAGGGTCAAGGAAGACGCGTGCTGCTGGAGATGTCAGAGCTGCGGCCCGTATCGGTACAAGTTGGACGAGCAAAGATGCGACGATTGCGAATGGGGCACCAGGCCGATCGAGAACGGAACCGGCTGCGAACCGATACCCGAGCAATTCGTCGATCACTCGAACCCTTGGGCCATAGTCGCGATGGTGGTCGCCGTCTCTGGTAAACGTCGTCTTTATAGTCGCTGGAAGGGATCTTGTGAGATCGTAAAGTCGGTCGGACATCGATCTTTAAAACTCAAGTCGATCGCAATTAGTAATCTGACATCTTTTTAAATAAGAACAGAGCTAGACTTTTCGTTCAGGACCGTATGGTATCGGAATTAGAATGTTCGTATTTCAATAACTTTTTTCGTCTTGTGTATGTTCGCACATAATTCTGTTGGCCGTCTTATTGAAAATACTGTGGTAGTTAGGAACTTAGTTAACCAATCATCGTCAATAGTTCTCCAATTTGGAAAAAGCCGCGTAGCAAACATCAAGTCTTGAGGCCCCGGGATGTAACGTGGGCATGTATACTTTAGAGCCGCGACACACCTGTCGGTCTACGGATCAGTTCTCCTGGCCCAATAAACCAATGACTACTGTTTCGGTTTACGACCTCACAAGATCTCTTCCAGCAAATATACCTACTATCTTACTACCTCACCTACGCGTCTGGCGCACATCTCTCGAATCTACGTAACCGAGAAATCCTGTTGCGCAGGTATGGCGTTGACGTCGTTCGTTTGCTGGGTGTTTTGGACCTACCGGGAGACTCCGATGATCAAGGCATCGGGTCGCGAATTGTCCTTCCTGCTGCTGCTCGGCACCTTTGGCTGCTTCTCCATCACGTTCGCCGTCGTGGCAAAACCCAGCGTCGAGAGCTGCGCCGTTGTACGGTTCGGCATCGGATTTTGCTACACTCTTTGCTACGCCGCTCTGGCGACCAAGATCAACAGGATACACAGAATATTCAATGATCCTGGTCCAAGTCCCCGCAAACGACGGTAAATCTGTCTTTGTGCTCGCGCGACGCTCGTCGCGCTCATTTTCTTCTTTCCTTTCCATACCGGATACTTTTCCACTTATTGTTAGATACACCAGCCCGAGCTCGCAGCTGACTATCGCCTCGATTCTCACGCTGGCCGAGATCGCGTTCGACGCGGTCTGGCTGCTCAACGAACCGCCTGCGGTCACGCGCTCTCATCCTACCAGAGACGCCAACGTGAGGATTTGCAGAGGTTCCGAGAACGGATCGTATGTGGCCGGTTTGCTGTATCCGTTTGTGTTGACGGGTAAGCTGGTCACGGGATTATCGACGTTTCACGTATAACGACGCTTTCATTCTTTATCGTAAATTTCAGTGGTGTCCACTTTTTACGCTATCAAGACCAGAAAGTGCCCCGAAGGATTCAACGAGACTCGCCGAATCGCGTTCGCGAATTACGCGACGATCGTTCTGTGGCTAGCGTTCGTGCCACTCTATTTAGCTTCGACCAGCAACGTTGTCCGAGTGATCACATTGGCACTCTCTCTCTCCCTGAACGGATTGGTTCAGCTGCTTTGTCTCTTTCTACCGAAAGTTTACGTGGTGCTGATCAAACCGGAGAAAAACACCCGAGAGCTGGTGATGGCCAGGCACGCCGGCGCCGGTTCCTCTCATCCGACCGCGACGATTACACCTGAGCCGCCTTCGGCGTCACCTTGCCATCGATCGAACGCGTCTCGTGAACCGATCTAACTCCTCGCTACGTTCAACCGCTCTCCGTAAATAAACTACAAACTGTTTGCAGCTTTCTTTCTTTCTATTATCCTTCCTCTTATTCGTATTCGTCCTATTATTATCATCGTTATACAGGTCTAGGCACACATCTTCGTTACACAGGTTAATTAAAAACGAGGAGAAGAAAAAGGAATCCGCGGCTGGGTTTTACTCCGTTTCTGTTTTTTTCTTTTTTTCTTATTAATAAACCTTAGATCTTATACAGATCCATTGGTACATGAATGGTTATAAAGTAACGTTATATATTTAAACCTTGATATAGGTTTATTCTGTTTCATGGACCAACGAATTGTATCGCCATCTCGCGGTCGGAAGAGCTAATTATTTTATATATTTGTACATATATATATATATATTATTTTATACGATAGCTTGGATCAGAACCCCTCAAAGTTTTGCGCTAGTGGCGCCATCGGTGGAAAGACGCTGTCAACCAATTACCGACATTTTAATTATTTGCTCATTTTAACGTCTACTAATGAATTTCAACGACCCAGTGTTTGTTTCATGGCTACAAGTTCATTATTAAGCGCAATAAATTAGATTACGTAAGTATTTTTTAATTTGTTCTGCAATGTCGATAATTTTAGTTCCACCATTTGACCGCGAGACGGCGACACCTATTTTTGGCACGATTTTGAGAATATACCATTGTTATAATTGAATAACTCATTTATATAGAGTATTATTGGTCTACTTATACCTGGACCTTATCAAATGATACGAACATCAAACGTTTAAACAAGAATTTCGTGCAAAGGTAGTTTAAGGCTGTTTGGTCGAAAATGATACTCTTTTTATTGTGTTTTATTTATTTATTGGCGAGTAAAATTTACGCGACATACACTTGGAAACGAACGATGACCGTTCAAAGACGATCAACGATCAAAAAAATTTCTCTCCCGCCGTGCGTTGATGCGAACCGATGATCGAGAACGCGAAGGCGGATCGCGATTTTGGTTACGAATCTGCGAGTCGTGTACACCGATGTCTTCGTTCCTGGAAGACAGCGATTTTTCGTCGACGACTACAGAGAAAAATCCAGCGAAGAGATGATTCTCGTCAACAGGTTCGACGCGACAACGACGACGACGACGACGATACGAGAATAAATCTAACGCGAATCCGAATTTACGTTACTTACGCGAACTTATTCTAAGGACAGCGAGTTGTCGCGCGAGCGAGCGTTCGATTCCGAATCGATCGGCGACAAGAACAGACCGCGCGAACGAACAAATTGGTCGCAGTATAAGAGAACGCGAAGGCGATCGACCGAACTCGACTCGAATCGTATCGAATCGAATTCGTCGCGCGTTCCTTGGTCTATGAGTCTTTGTTCGCGAGGACAACGATCGGTCTGTCCTCGTCCCTCGGTACCGGTATCGGTCTGGGTATCGGTATCCGTCTCGCGCTTACCCCTCGCTGACCTATGCGAAGCACGACCTCGTTGCCGGAGCTTCGCTCGAAAGGCGTTTCGTGGACGGAACAACTGATAAGGATCTGCGATGGGTCGCGCACGATAGGGTGCGCGATTAAGTACTTAAAATTACGCTATGTACAATTTCGATCGATAAATGACCCGCGAGGAACGGAACACCCTCTATACACCGGGCACTCGGACTCGTGGTTTTCCCTTTTCAAAAGGAACTCTCGCGATTCGTTCTGATTTGAACGGATTCGGGACTCGGCGTCATCGCCGGATTGTCGTAAGCGTAATCGAGGGTGGTGTCTTCGCTGGGGTGCCTTCCGGATAGAGAGGTACTGGTGGTGTTCGGCGTGCCGTTATCGATACCGCTTCCGTTTCCGCTTCCGCTACCATTCCCATTCCCATTCCCGTTTCCACTCCCATTCCCGCGTCCGTTGCCATTTCCGCTCCCCAAGATTCGCGAGGGAGCTACACTGGCGCTGATCGTGGGCATCGCCAGCCTCAGTCCGTTTTGTTTCACGATACCGCTTTCCACGTCATCCTGAGCTTTATTCTTCTTCCTGTTGTTGTTGTCGGCGTTGTTGTTGTTATTGTAACCGCCAGCGATGCCGACGTTGTCGTTCCCGGGATGGCTCGTCCTCTGTTAAACGCGAACGATTAGCAACGGTGACGGACGAGGACGGTCAGGGAAACCGTTATAAACTAACCTGTATCTTATTTCCGGTAAACGCACGACGAAGAACAGCCCGCAACTTGTTCCATCTCGTCAGCTTTCTGGTTAGCAGGTAGAGGGTGGTCAGCAACGAGACAGCAGCCACGGCGATAGCTATCGAGACGAGGATCCATAATTTTCCAACTTGTCCTGCCGATGGAAAAGGTTTCTTTGAATGCTGGTGACTGAGAACGAAAACGATTTCACGTTTCTACGATCCATTCGTTCGCTTACCTCGCAGATCTTCGTACTGCTCCAGAAGAACGTATCGCTTGTCGTGTAGGTACTCTGAAACCCAGAATCACGAATGAAAAATGTTTCCGTCGCGCTCTAAACCAAAGGTAACGGACGATTTTCTAAAATGACGCGGCTATGGTTTGGATTTTTCGAACGGAACGAGCATACCTACGTGCCTATGTAAAAACGAGCGAAGAAACGAGCGAAGCACTCAAAGGAGAAAAAGGAGAGGAAGGTCCGAAAAGGTCGGGAAAGAGACTCGGATCGTGGAAAACGAAGGAAATGGCTGGAAAGGACGAGAGGAACAAGGCCAAGAAAAGAAGAAAGGTAGACGCGCGGTCGGATGAGTCATCGAGCTTAGAGCTCGACCGCGGTAGCGTGTGGGAAAGTCGATGGAGGGACGGACGGTGGTCAGGTGCAAAGTCAACGGACTCGGCATACCTTCTATTCAGGTGTACGAGGGTCTCGGGAAAGCGGTTGGCCTACTACCTGTGCTTCTCTCCGATCAATCTCGAAACGCGCGTACCGTTCAAGCGTGAACGACGACCCAAAGCCATCATCTCCGCTTTACGGTTCGCGAGCGATTTCTTCGTTACGATTCTAACAACGTATCGAACGTTGACAAACTTTTATTTAAGGGTTGACATTTCTAGAGGCCTGGTCCCGGAGCTACGCTACAGTAAAGTATCCACGAATGCACGAACTCGGGACTGAACTAGTGCATTTATGATAGACAACGGCAACGAATAAAGGACGAAGAGAAACTCTTCTATATTCGCTGTCCTATCTTTACGTTCGAACGGTCTTACGTTCGTAGTGGACGATTTCAGTGCATTTATGGAGACTGTACCGTACCGATCGAGCGAAACTTACCTTGACAATCGGACAGACACTCGACCGGCTGATAATTGGTACTGTCCACGTCGCAAATGGACGAGCACGGTTTGCAGTGCTTGACGTAGCGATTGCAGTACTCGAGGGTGGAGCAACGACTCTCGCCGCATATCACTCCCTCTGGGTTCAAGCCCCCTGTTGCGCTGGCCACGATCAACAAACTCGGAAAGATCCAACCGAACGCCAACGTCTTCATCTTGGACGACTCGATCGCAGCCTCTTACCGATTACCTTGCGACGGGGCTACAGCGAAACATTTTCCAAGAGAGTCGTGTTTCTCCTGAAAAGACAAGAGGACAAGTTTAGGAAGCAATCGTGGTTCACGTCGATCGCATGTTTCCCGGACGGAAGACCCGAACCGTGGCAACGTCTACGAGAGAAGAGAAGAGAGAGAGAGAGAGAGGGGGGCGGTTGCACGGCAGAGGTACATACTAACGAAGATATACCAAAGACCGAGCGAGCGAGTGATCGATCGAGAGAGAACGAGAGAGGCAAAGAAGCGAATGCAAGGTGACTCATCGGTGGTATCGCGCGGCACGGGAAGAGCGGGCGGGAGGGACGAACCACGGAACCAGTTCCGAACGATCGTCGTTTTACCAGCCGATTCGATCGAGCCGCGACGCGCTAGCCCGGAATCTTCGATCCGTTTCTTGGAGGAAATACCGATGCGTCACGGCGCGACGCGCAAACCTCGTTCCGTTGGTTCCGTTCGGGTACAACGCGATCATCGATCGCGTTCTCCGCCGTGAACGCGAACGCACGGTTCCCGTTGAATGCCCTTTACTCGCGTTCAAACGGTAATTTTGCAACAAACTCCGAGTATTCGAAATGGACGCTATTCAAAATGGCGGAGAAAAACCGAAAGGTAGGTGAAAAAGGGGAGGGGGGAGAGAGAGCGGTAGAGCGAGAGAGAAAGGTGTACGAACGAACGAAGAAGAAGAAAGTATACAGTCGGTCGCAAAATTTTGCGGTGGAACGGGTGAAAGTTTCGCGCGTAACGGTAATAAACTATAATAAACTCGACGCGTTAGTCGAACGTCCAGCAAATTCGATCGTTTCGCGATCGATTGTTTCGCATCGTTGCGTTTTACTTGTAACCCGCACGCTTTGCTTTTGTTGTCACGTATGCCGCGTCGATTCGTTTTTCCGACTGTATGCACAAAGAAGCGGTAGCCGTACCTGGTACCGCGAGATACCAGGTGGACTGGGTGGACACGGTCAGCGAGGTCCGCGCGTCGAAGCGCGTCCGTCGAGAACGAGCGCGGAGCTTCGAAATCGATGCTCGAGTCGATCCAACTTTCGCGAAACTACGCAGGTAGAAAACTGGGAAACCGTTGCGTTTGTCGAAGAGGCGAGAGAAATCGTAACCGAGCGGTCGATCGGCAGGAATGTTGCCCGACCGGTTTTAATGGCGTGGCATGGCGCAGCGTGGCCTGGCACGACAATTTCCAACGAGCGCGAGTTACGCGTCGGCGCGGCGTCGTTATATAAACCGCATAGTTTCCAAATAATCTCGCCAGCGACAGGTGGAACGCGCGTCGTTGGACGATCGTCGACCGCGGTACGAGACACGGCCCGTTGACGCGGCTCCGTCGATCGTTCCATCGATCCGGAAATCCTCCGTATAGGCGAGTCAACGATTCCTTTTTGTTTCGCGAACGAACAGCGAGTCGCGACCAAAGGACAAAGTTTGACGGAGCGATTTCGAGTAGGTGAGTTGCACGAATCTTACTTGGTACGAGCAGGCGTGATCGTTCGCTGTCGGTCGGTTCAAGTTCGGTGGATAGGCTCGGGCTGCGGAGCGAGGCTTCCGAGCTCGCATGTCGCCGTTTCCGAACGCGAACAGATTCGAGATTCGATACTCGAGATTCGAGAGACGCGTACGACACCTTCCCGCGTGAACTGGTCGCGTTGGACTGGCTCGCTGCCGATCGTGCGACGGGACGCGTCGACGTCGCGGACCTCCTTGCTGCTACCACCGCGGAGTCTCTTCCTCTTGCCTGCCTCGCACCTGAATTCCACCTCTCCACCTACCGGCACGGCTTCCCCTTTCCGTGCCCCTTGGCCATCGCGCTGCTCCTCCCCCTGCCGCGTTAACCTGCTCGTCAGGCTGGTTGGATTCGATCGTCGCCGAGCGTCGCGTCGAGCGTCGGTCGTTCGGCTTACCTGTTGCGTCGAGCGAGTCTTTGCCTGCTTCTCGGTTTTCGTGCGGCGCCGGCGGTGATTCGGTCGCTCGACTCGGTTCGGCCGAGACCGAGACTTGCGTCGCATCGGGTGTTACGCCGAGAGGAAGAAGCCTAGTTTGCGGCGCGACGCGCTTTTCTTGCCGCTAAAGAAAGGTCGAGAGATCGGATCGCTCTTCTATTTACGTGTTTTATTGCTTATTAAATGTTCGTACAAATGTATAACGTAGCAAAACTCGAGATGTTTCGTTGATGTTAATATCGAGATTGTTACCGTTCTTGCTGGCCAATGTTCGATTTTCCGTGTTCGCGAAAAGACACGGGTGTCGATATACCGAAAGAACGAACGCCAAGGTCCGAGGAGAAAACGAGGCGGTGTCGGTGGTCGGGAAGAGAAGTAAGAAATACAATCCTTGACGCGTGCCGTATCGCATCGTGACGCCTTTGCATAGACTCGTCACGAATACAAGCGAGTGGCATCGGTAAACGAAAAGCAAACGTCAACTCCGGCTCACCGACGATCGGTGTACAAGGTGGGCCTCTGAAATCCGGAAACCTGAGATTCCAGAGGTGTAGAACCGCCGAGACGACCGTAGAGTTCCTCGTAGTCGTCTTTTCTTGTCCGAACCGAGTGCACGAACAGTGTTCCTTTCTCGTGCGTTCGTCTCCTCGCCGATCCGACTGTGCCAAGAGTTCTCCCTTCTCTCACAGATCACTCCGATCAAACCGAACGCATCAAAAGTAACTCCCGTCTCGTGCATTCGCTCCCTCGCCGCCAGCCGACTGGGTCGGCACGTCGGTGAATAGATAGTGAAATTCCGTTTTATTATTACTGGATTTCAGCTAAAATTTAGTTGTATTTTGAATATGCCAGAAGTGGTTTTCTGTGGACAAAACCCCACAGCCAGACGTGGTTCGTCGCCACACTCGAGCTTTATTAGAGGTACAGGTCATTCGGTTTTTCGTAGTATTGTACGCACTCGGTACGCGAGTCAGCGTAAAATTTTTGAGCCGACAGTACGCAAACTTATGTTTACCTTGTTTTTGTTTTGTCCATAATAAATACGCAGTGGAACGTTACTCTGTTGTCTATATATTTATTTGAATATAAATATCCAATAATTGTTCTTTCTCGTACGACGAACGCGATCGGATCGAGTCGCGAAAGCGAAACTCAAATACGGTCTCGGTAGCGACCCGACGAATCGCGCGTCGATTCTTCCGTTCATGTTTGTACAAAATATACTTTATCGTAACAATTTCTATCCATAATGGTCGTCTTAATAATAAGAATCGATGTCGTCCGCGACGACGACGACGACGACTCGTCAGTCTGTAGCGTGTTCGAGGGGGCGCGTACGTTCCCGTTTGCTTCGTCGCGTCTTCTCCTCTTCCCGACTCGATGGCGTAAATCGCGGAGCCGTCGTAAAAAATCGAGATTGACGGACCGCTGTCAAAGTCGATTTTTGAATCGGCGGTTGTTCGCGTGGAACGTCTCCGCGGTAGGATGGAAGAAGGCGATTCGCGATCGAGTATATTTCGGCACGGCAACGAGTCAAGGGGCTCGCGAACGCGGGAAGAGGAGAAAGGTCGCGCGGTAGTCGACGCGGAGACGACGCGTCTCGCTTGTTTCCGAGTTGCGCTGTTTGTAGAGAAAAGCCAGCCTACGTCGAAACTCCTCTTCCTGATAACGAATCTTTTCGCGATCGAAAGTTTCGTTCGATTTCCTCTCGTTGCTCTTGAGCGAATAAGGCGCGAGTCCGCAATTCACGATCCGCGGAGAGTAGAGTAGAGTAGAGTAAAAGAGAGGAAAGGAAAGGAAAGGAAAGGAAAGGTGAAAATGACGCTACAAGTTCCACTTGTTGTAGCTGCAGAGGCACAAATTCCAGCAACCCGATCGCGTCGGACGATCGTTCGCGGTCGCGCATCCGTTCGGAGGATGAGCGCGAGCGACGAGACGCTCGTCGACGGTGACGGGTCGCTGGAACGCCTATCCTCAGATGCTCCCGTGGCCGGGGAAACTCGCCGGATGTACGCAGGAAGGCGTGCCGAATCTGTGACAAGCCTCGGGCGGCGAGGGCGACGCTCCGCCGTCTTCGGACCTGGGGATGGGAACGGGAACGCCGTTCTGCACGTAGTGAGTCAACCGCGTCGGCAGGGAGCCCGCGTTCAGCTGATAAAACTCGATCAACTGTAGAAGATCGTAAAACTTGGTTACACCCTTGTCGAGGGTGTACAGCCAGCAATTGCATCGCTCGTCGAATACCTGAAACGAACGCGCATCTTTAGCGAACGTCGCGTCCCGTCGCCGCGGGACCATCCGAATGCCATCGAGATTACAATTTCACTTACAGGTTGGATTTGCGCGTGAAACACTTTGTCGCTGTATTTGTAGGTCAACACGTACGCCCCCAAATTGCTTCTGCTCTCGCGAACCAGAAACACGCTGAAACAATGAAACGGTGAAGCGTTACGGTTACCGAGCACGCGAGTTCTCGCGACTGCAAAAGAAAATCCGCTCACCCGTCTATGGAACCGTGGTCCCTTACGATCGCCGCGGCGATGTCTCTCTTCAGCCCTCTGTGAAACCACGGCTGCAAAACGTGAATGCCGTCGTCGAGTCCTTGGAACCGGACCACCGAGCACCCGGGCGTCGGTCTCGAGAACGGTCTCCAGGTTCGACGCCAATTGATCCCCTCGCTCTCGGCGATGTCCTTGGCCTCCTTCGGATCGTCCACGATCCTTCCGACGCTTCCGGTGAAATCCATGGCCACGCGAGATCGCGTCGATTCCTGCGCCAACATTATCGAGAACGATGCAAAAGCGAAACACGCGGAAAAGGACACCGATCGCGGGGACACCGATCGCGGGGACATCGATCGATGCGCACGCGAGACGCGAAACGGAAGACGAGAGGGGATAAACGTTGTCGGATAAAACGGGGGTTGACGAGATCCGATGCGCTTGTTGCTAAGCAAGGAGCAAACGCCAGGAGACGCGCCGTGATTCCGAGAGCTTGCGAAAACACGAACAGCGAACGTTTCGACTTGCGACGGATGCGAGACACCGTGCGCACCGAGAGTTTCTTCCCGCGCGTTCACCGCTCTTGGACGATCTCGGTTTCGTCCGTATCCGGTCGGTACCCGTCATTTACCTAACGTAACCCGAGAACTCTGGAAAATCGCGGAAACGATCGAAACGGATGGCTACGATACGTACCTCTTCCATGTTCGCTCGAAACAGACGGAAAGGAACAGCGGAGAATCCGAGCAAACGTTTGCTCGAGAGGGAGAAGTCGTCCAATGTCAAGGTTATAGAAGCGCAGGCGCGCGAAATCTACCGGGTGATACGCAAGCGCGAGTAATCCGTCCATCCGAAATCCGTCGGCATCGAGCCGATCGCGGACGAGCTCGGGAAATCCCCGTTAACGGTGGCGTTCGATGGAGTCGGTTTCCTTGCCGGCAGCTTTTCCCACAAGAATTTCACTGAGCGAGATCGAGAGCGGGCCGCGGATTCGTGGCTGCCAGGTAGGCACGCTCCAACTCCGACGGACTCTATAGTCGACACGAATCAATTTCGCGACGAACCGTAGAGGTGGTCGGTGCGCGAAAAGCGTTTCGCGAGCGCGACGACGAGTTACTCGTCGAGAAATTTCGATTGGTCCCGCGAGCCACGGCTCCGCTCCGGTCTCGTACAAGCTAGCCTACCCTCCGAATGATCGATAGTTCCCGGCGCGTAGCAACAGTCTACCACCTCGCCTCGCCTCGCCTCGCCTCGTCGCGCTTCGCCTCGTGCCCCGCCTCGCCTTTTTGCTCCATTTTCAAAACTTTCTTCCAACGCGAGCTCCACCGAACATCTTCGAGTTCCTTCGCCTTTCTCCGATCTCTTTCTCCCCGGGGCGTTGTTCGCGAAACCCGCGAGTCGCGACCAAACGGACGATAACGAACGATAACGAACGTGCGTTGCCGCGAAGAGACGGCGGGGATCGCGCGAGCGCGCTTTCCGCGTCGATTTCCACTTGGCCCCTAAAAAGATCGTTTCGGTAAAAGGAAACTCACGTTGGACACGTCGTAGTTGGCGTATCGTTCCTTCGGATTGTCCCCGCTGGCTTGCTCGCACTGTTTGTTCTTGAACGCTCGGTAGTTTTCCCTGAGTTGCTTGCCATACTACGACACAACAAAATAAATCGATTAGACGGATGGATCGAGGAGAATACGACACTCGGACCGGAGGTCGATTTAGTTTTCCTTCGAAACTCGAAGGAAACGCTTGCTCGAGATCGGCCGCCGACGAGTTTTGACGCCGCGCGCGATTGCGAGACCGCGATTATGTCACGGCACGGCAAGACGAGCGCCGAGAGAAAGGAAGAATTGCCGGTTGAAGAAGCGTCGCGACGATCCGAACGTGCGCTTTCCAAGTAGAGGAATGGGCCACGGGCTACAGGCCTCGATCTCGATCTCCAACTCGGCGTCGACGAGGCTCGTCGACGAGCAACGCGGAACAACGAGAAAGAATCGGGATTCTGGTTACCTTGGCGAGTCTCATGGCCGTGAGCCAGCAAACGCGGGACTTTTCACTGTGGAAAGCGATGACCTTGAGCCCGGATTCTCCAGCCTCGGTGCCTTCGGCTTCGGCGTTGCTGGATGGCCTCAGGCAAAGGCCCCACTCGAAAGGCGCGTTGAAACACCTTTTCGCGTTTAGGATCCTGTACACCGTATAATCCGACAAATGAGCAACCGGAGTCAGCTGTCCGTTATCCTGAAATCATTCGACCACGTCATTTTTCTACGTGTCACTCGAGTTACGTCCGAGTCGGTCGACGCGGATACTTTGTCGCGAACGGTCCTCGTCGCTCGCAGACCGCGGAAGGACGATCGAAACGGCCGGATCGGTTTCGTCGCATCGACGAACGCATACCCGGAAGAGGAAGGCGGCGCGTCGCGTTCCCGTTGGCGTCGACGGAAACGAGCGCGAAAACGGGAAACTGGAAGCGAGCGAGTCGGTCGGTCGGTGTCTCGAAAACCTCGGCGACGTCTTCTTGTATTCTTCGTTGATCGCTTCGAATGAAAGATGCCGAATCGGCAGCCGAAGATAAGAGTCGATCCGTTCGAATCGATCGGAAAAAAAAAAGAAAACGGAAACGATTCGAAGGCGTCGAAGCGAGAACGTTTAGCGTTGGCGGGCAAAATGTTAGTCACGGTCGTGACCGGAACCGGTTTGCGAGTAATTCCAGAAGCGCGGCCAGCCAGGTGCCAGGTGCTGGAAAATCGAGGTGTCTTTATTACGATTCTCGATTTCAATTTTTCGGATTCTCGGTCACCGTTCAGAAGCGGTTCGTCGTAAATCGGACGTGGATACGCGGTCTCGCCGTGTTACGATTACCGTTACCGAGAACCAGGGAAGAAGCGAAGGGTCGAAACATTCCGAGAAGACCGCGTACGACGAGCGTAGGTGGAGTAGACAAGGTCGCCGAAAAGACTGGAAGGAATTTCGAGACGCGAGCCAGCGAGAGAACGAGAGAGCCAACGGGGACGTAAATTGAAAATTGCTGGCTCGCTAAGTTGCCCCGGTCGTTTTCGTTCCACTCTTTTTCGACTCGAACGGTCGCAGCCGTTCGCCGACAAACACGTTTCCGTCGCTAAAACGGCTGATTTTAGCCGAAGCGCCATCGGAAGGAATACGCGTAACGAAAATGAAACCCTGGCTGCGCTCCTTTATTGGATTCGATCTAATACAATTTGCGCTTTGCATTTTGCTCGAGCACGGTTCCGTTCGGGTACGCAAATTTTTTCGTGCGGCCATTGATCGGCATCTCGGTTCTTCTCGAGGTGAAATTCGAAACGACGGTCGCGACGACGGCACAGTTTCGATCACGAAGACCTTCGTTATCTTCTCTTCTTTTCGTCTTCATCTTCGCCTTTGCTTTCGCTCTCTCGCTTTCGTTTTCGCTCTCGCTGTCGCTATCACTGGTGCGCGATACCATTTACGTGCTCGCGAAACGCCAAAGAGAGTCTTCAGAGGTAGGACGATCGCGAAAGTAAACAGACGCCGCGTTGAGAGTTTACGGTCGACAACCGAACGAGGATTCTATGGATCGGGTGTCGTAGGTGTAGCATCCCTACTCACCGTGACGCAAGTAATGCGACCGTTTTACCAGTAAATACGGCCAAACGATTTCGCAGAGGAAACACCGATCGCTTCGTGGATCCCAGCAACAGTGACAAGGGACGAGGGCGGCGTTGACGATGCCGAAGCCGAAGCCGAAGCCGATGTACATCGACGAAATAGCCAAACTAGATGGAAAGAGAAGACAGAGAAACATAGACGGATAGCCAGATAGCCAGATAGACGGGTAAACGAAATAAAATGGCCGAATGCCGAAGAAACGTGGGTGAAAAGATGGAAAGACAAGACTCTGTCGCGGTTAAGAAAAAAAGAAAGAAAGAGAGAGCGGGTGACGATGCCAGTGGGGTAGACGAGTAAGGCGCGCGATACGGAGCAAGAGCGTCGGGACACGGGATTAGAAGGTGTTTTCTCTCCGTTGGGAATGCACGCGAGAGAAACGCGGTGTGAAAATTATCGGAGCGAAGCAACGGTTCGCGTTTGCCGCGACGCGACGCGCCGCGACGCTGACGGGATCGATTTTAGTCCGTACCAAATTCGCTAAACTCGTTTTACGAGGCTGCGCGACTCGTCGCATCGCTTCCAATTTTTCATATACGTTCGTGAATCGTACGATATCGCGTGCAACGTTTCAGAAAGATTATAGACCGTGGATTCGTTTCGAGTATTTCCCGTCGACGATCGATCAAGTGGAGTCGCGGGAAACGTTCGCGCGACGGATTATCGTTGCGCGCTTACTCCACGTGACGTTTCTTTTTGCATTTTCGTCGAATGTCGGGTCTTTTTGTCTCTACGCTTGAAATCTACGACAACGACCGCTCGTCCACGGTCATTCCGTTCCTCTGGAAAGACTGAATCTTGTTTCGAACGACGGCAGCGACCGCGGACCACTCGAACCTTTTCGTTTCACCGGCACACCTTTTCGCGAGCGAATATTCTTTCGTCCGACAACGGTTCGATCGTCCTCGCGTATCCTTTCATCGTTTCGCGAGATCGACGGTATGAAACGTAACGTAACGTAACGGCGCGGAACGAAACGAGAGGAAAATACGGGCAGACGGGCAGCTGACGGGAAGCAGACAACGAGACGGCAGGGCGTAGGAAAGGAAGAAGAGGGACAAGGGGGTGGTGAACGATGAAGGGGTTAAGGGGATGTGAAGTGTGCAGTGTGCAGTGTGCAGTGTAGAGTGTGGGGTGTGGATCGTGGGGTGGGGCTGGGAAAGAGGGGGCAGGTCTCGGTTAGGAGAGAGAAGGAGAACCGCGACAGGGAAGAGAAACGAAGCGAAGAGACGAGCTACCGGCAACGTTAACGGCAGACTGCGCGACGACGACGATATTCTCTTCGGTCTCTTTTTCCGTTCCGTTCGTCCATAAAAGATCGTCGGTTCTTCGAACGGTTTCGTGACGCGTCGTCGAGACGGCCGGTCACGGTTCAAACAACGACGACGGCGACGGCGACAGCGTCGGCGACGTTCGCGTCGAAAGCGTAGGAGGCGCGCGCACGCATCGCCTCCCAACAGTGTCGGAACGACAACTGACGGAGCGGCTCGTTGGCTCGTTGCTCGCCGGTACCCTCGTGCACGGCGTCGGACAAAGATCCGAACATTGCCGAATCCTCGGTCGAGAACGACCGAGCCGGCCAGTCAGCTGGTTTCCCGGCGGTGGCATACTGCATCGGTCGCGCGCTGCAGATGCGCTTCGTTCATCGCTTCCACGCTTCCTCGCTTCGATTACGATCCGTCGCGAACTCTTCCGAATCAGCTGGCTACACAACCCACCCGCTCTCACCGACCAGACCGTATCGTTATCGTCCGTTCTCGCATACACCTGTATCCGCGCGTTTTCCTCGCCTTGTCCACGCGTACGTATTCCGCTATCGCCGCGAAAAACCTTTTCGAATTCGGTCAACTGGAACGTATCGTTACCATTGTTGTTGTTATTTATATGTAACTCGAGCGTATACTCGTTCGTTACAGTTACAAAGTTAAACGCGATGAACGTAAACGATATTCGCGAAACGTTGGGTCGAAAGATATAACTCGTGCATCCTGTACGGTTGTTATCGATATTATTATTATTGCTATTCCTTCGTCGTATATCGAGTCCAATCGAACCGACATTATCGCATTAATTCGTATAAAATAAGCCGATTACCGCACCGTCGCTAAACAGTGAGACGGTCCGTGTCACTGTCTCATAGCCGCGAGTCTCGACGATACCAAAACACGAAAATGCGAAAACGGAAAAAGCATGCGTTCGCGACTACGTTGGAAATGCGATTACGCGGCTTCGCGAAGCCTCGCAAGCACGGGAGATAGGTAGGCCTGACTCCTTTTCTTCCATTATGCGCTATCGCGATTCGATTCTCGTTCTTTTTCGAGCGATCGGAAATCGGTATGATTCGCGTAGCGGCAAACTATGCCGTTAGACTCGGCCGTCGGCGGTTAGGGCGCGCCGAAGCATAGCCAGTAGTAGTCAGCCGTCGCGATCTAGGTGATCGTCGAAAGGTTTACGGACGAGCGACGCTGTGCGCGTATTCGGATCGATTATCTCGTTTGTTTTCGAAGAAACATCACTAGAATATCGGACGTGACGTCGGTGTTTGTATTCGGCAAAATTTAGCAAGACGATCGACGGGTCGCGTGCTTTCGTTACATGTTGTTTCCGGAGAGTCGATCCTAATCTTTCCGATTCTGACAGGTGGTTCGCGTCTCGAACGAAAGGTTTAGGATAATTCGTCGCTTTAGCTTTCCAGAGTATCTCGATGGCTGACGCACGTAGACGTTCCCTCGACGCCGACGGCGTGTTCCCTCTCCTCTTTCTTCCGTCGCGACGCGGACGACGCCGACGGATCGATATGCCCTACTGAACCAACTGGACGTTGTCGGCGAGTTACGGAATCCGGCGCAACTTGTTCCTAGACCATCGAGTGCATGGACGCGACGTTCGCGATGATCCTCGCGTGCTTCTCTGGTCGTAATTCTCTCTCGCCGTCTTCCTCGATGCGCCAGGTGCAAGAAACGTTGTCCTTGAATCGTCGTTCAACGGCAAATTTATTTATCATTTTTTTCGTATCCGCCGCGACCGGTTGCGCTCGCCTTCGACTTTGGCGGATTACGAGCTGGCTCGCAAAGATCGAAGAGGTCGAAAGAGAAGACGCGGAGGAGAAGAAAAGAGGGTGCAGCGAAACGACTAGCGCGACCATACTGTAAGGAGGGTCGTGTATTTCGGCCGGTGACACTAAAAGCGACGGTTACGCGCTCGGAAAATCCGTACATTTTGGTCGATCGCCAGGAACCAGCGGCGTGCATTCTACTCCAAATACCCTAACCTACTAAACTCGTATCAATTCTAAACCGATGCGGCGATAAAGATCGACAAATTTTCCAGTTTTCTCCACCTTCCGGAATTCGATTCCCAACTCCGGGGTCGTCGATAATTCGAATATCTCTTCTCTTTAGTTGGACGGTTAGGCGGAGAATTTTCCAAAAGGCGAAGCCCGAAGGAAAAATTGTCAATCTCGAGAATCGAGATAAAGCAATCGATCACAAACGCGTCGCTCGATTTACGTACTCACCGGCAGTATTCGCTTCGGCAGAGTATTCGCGGTCGTGGTTTCCGTGGCTGGCATCGTCACCGAATTAATCTGAAAATAACGAAATCATGAGCAAATCTTTACGATTCGTATTCGTTAGAGTATAAATGTTGCGCGAACCTCGTTTTCGGAGGGACGTTTCGTTCACGGTTATAGACGGTCGGGTTCCTCGTAGAAAAATCGTTGATAAGTCGCGAGTGGTCGTTCGACGAAAGAAATCCGCGACCGCGATCGCAAGGTTAGGCGTGTAGCGAAGAGAGATACGAGCGCGAACGCGAACGCAAACGCAAACTGTTCAGCGGTCCGTCACGCGTCGCGAACGCGAACAATGACGTGGTTGCAGCGGACGTCGTAATACGATGCGTTGCGAAAACGTATTGTGTTTGCTCGACAACCTGAACGGAGAAAGGAAAAAGAGAGCGCGGAACATGTGGCGGAGATGGATGGTTGCGCGTCACGCCGAAAACGAGAGGTTGCGAACTGTGTTTGAAATGTCGAGTGATCTCGCGTCGCGGGACGCCATTTCGCGGAACGAGAACGAGAACGACACGGTTACGCTGTATCGGAAACGTTACGGATACAGGTATCGACATCGCTATCGAGAGAAATAAGTTAGCCCATCGTTTCGAAATAATTCGAAAAAGATCGAGAAATTGCAAGTTTGCACGTTTGCACGTTTCCGGGATGTCTTGCTGGATCGAACGCGGCGATCGATTCGTATCTAGCAAGATGGATTGCACGCTTGCGCGAGTAGATCGTAAGTGCACGTAGCCCGTTTGTTATATCGGCGCCAACGATAGCAACGAGGAGTGAACGCGAACGGTAGTGCAGCCCTGGAATAGAGCGGTGCCGTGGAGAGGTGGGTGTACCAGAGGCCTGAAGTTCATACATACTGTACCGAAGGGTAAACGAGAAACGAGGAGGTGCGAAGAGGACAGATGTGAAAAAAAGGAAAGAAAGGAAGATACCGAGGAGGATTAGAAGGTGGAGGGGAGGAGTTAGAAGCCAGGTCGTCGACCCGAGGAGCAGTGTTCCTAACAGAATAGCGCTTTTGCCGACTCGAAAGTGTGTCACCCGCGGCACTCGTACGCGGCTTGCAGCCCGCGTAGGCAAAATCGCGGTATGTGCGCGCTTACCCTCGTTATCGGAGATTTCTCTACTCCGCGACGATTCTTTCCCTCTTCGTAAGTCTCGCAACGCGTAATATGGCTGCCGCCTGCATCGAGTTGTGACAACATCGACAATGGTAACAGCAACAATAACAAAAACAACAACACAACAAGCTTTGGCTACGTTTCTAACAATGCCGCTCTCTCTCTCTCTCTTTCTCTTCCTCTTCGTCTCTGCCGTTGCACGCTACGTCACAATGTCGTGGTACCGCCATCTACCGTTTGAATCGCGCGACAACTAGAAACGTACCCCAAAGGTGAACAGCGAATAAGTAGGTACACGGATTGCGTCGGCCGTCGACGTCGACTCGTTCGCAAACGACCGTTCGTACGACTATTTCCAAGAGATATCGATAAGGGAGTAACGAACGGTATTGCACGTTCACCTTGTTCGTAACGTAGAGCTTTCTCTCGCGCAGCAGCATGTACGTCTTTCTCCAAGCGTCCAAATATCCGAAGCGTACCCATACCAAGCTCAACACTTGCGGGCATTCCGTGTCGTCTTGCACTAGAAACATCTGAAATCCGAAAAAGCACGCGCTGCTAGAAAATTTCCGTTCATCTTCGCGATCAAATTTAATCGTCTCGGATCGATTCTACTCACTCTTAAAGCGATCTCGGCGTCGATCAGTGTTCCGTCGTTATCCACGATAGCAACAGTCGCGGGAAACGCGCTCGTGTCGTCGGGACAGTGTTTCTGAAACAAGCGTGCGATTGCTCGCGGTAAACTTTGACGTGGATTTAACGAAAAAAGCACGGCACTCACCTTGGACTTGACAAAGAACTCGTACTTGAGGAAATCTGGTCTGAAGACAAATATTTTAGTGTCCCGAGATGCGAACATTCTCAGTTCTCTGTGAACGCCCAAAATGTCCTCGTGATCTTCCAGAGTACGTTCTGCAAAAAGCAATTCGGGTCACGATATCGAATACCAAAACGGATCGGTCGTCGCGAAAATCGCGCTCACCGATTCCCAACTGCGGCCAGGTTTCCACGATAGACCACGCGACACCGGACACGTTCCTCTTCACTTTAAGTAGTTGGCATAAATCGATCGTACGTAGATTCTTTTCGACGACCAAGCTGTTCCAAGTGTGATCGTCGTTGTAGAAACGCAATTCCTCTATCTAAACGAGACAAACGATCATGGAACAAGATGGGTTATCGTTTCTTTCGACTCGGTACGCCTAGTCTAAAAACGAAGAAGCGAACAAACGTTATGTTTCTCCTTCCGTCCGAAGGAGAACGTAGTTCGGCGAATCCGGAAGGATATCGTGGTCTGCTGCGCGTCGTCGATCGCGATTCACGCAAAGCGAAAGAAAAAGCTTACTCGATCGTCTTTATCTCCGTTACCACCACCGCCGCCGCCACCGCCACCGTCGACTTTGTAGTTTTCATCGTCGTAATTGCCTCCGCTATAATAACAGTTTTGAGAAACTGATCCATCGCGTTGATTGCACCGATCGCATCTCGTTTGTGTTCCCGCCAGCGAACGACTGAATTCGAACGCGTTGCATCGAGACCCGAGTCGTCTGTAATCTCCTACTCGAGTCATGGATGGGTTGGAAAACCTAGAAATCGGATTACCGTTCTCCAGACACGAACACATCTTTTGCAACCAATCTGCAAAGTTAAACAAACAAAAAAAAAAGACAACGTTACGTTACCTCGTGGAGAATTGTACAAATTGCGCGTGCAAGACGCGAACAAACGATTCGTCGAATACGCGATATCGCGGTGTGGTAGGTACCGATTACGAGGCGACCTCGACCGCGACCTTGGCCTGCTGACACGCGAGCACAGCCCTACCATCGTCGCGACGCGACTCACCCACGTATAAGTTCGTTCGATACGCCTACCGTTTCTCTGATTCTCGGATATACAGCGTAACAAGCTGGTACTAATGGTAAGACATCTAGTATTCGTCGCACGCTGTATAGATTCATTCCTAGACAGACGGGAAAAATTCTCCAAGTTGAAATACTCGATTCTACAATGTCTAACGAACGGCATCGCGACGATGATAAAGGTACGCGAACCGAGGCGAGGCGTTTCCACGATAAGCAACGAGAGCGAGTCGGAGCAGCGACCGTTCCGGGGGGTTCTCGGGCTCGCAGCCTACCCCAATGTCCGGTCGATTCTCCAAGGTAACGGGTTCGTCGAGAGCGGTTGTATCGCTACCAATCGTAAACGAACGGCCGCGGCAAACAGTCGCGTCGCAAACTTCATTCGCACCAGAGACTTGTTCGAAGGGCTGCGTCAATTTCCGGGAGTCCCGTCCTACGGTTACATTTTCTTCGAACGGTTTTTCGCGAGGCATTTGACAATTCTAATTCGACCAAATTTCGCTACAAAATCGGGCTGGTGTCGGGCTTCTCTCGGTTCAACGTTAGCGAATCCGGTCAGTGTACGCAGTCTACGACCCTTCGACGAAACGCGTTATCGCGATCGTTCCGTGTCGATCTGACTTTCGCCTGTGTCGCGTCACTCGCCTCTGGAAATTCTCCTTCGGCGCGATTTTGTACAAGAGCGTCGAACCGCACCAAAAGCGGCCCATCGATAAAAATCAAGTTGAAATGTCCGACGGTGCGCGAATGGTTCGATCGATCGATCAAGCATTCGACTTGCAGCGCGATACCGAGTGAACATCGAGTTCGAGGCGAGACGGGGGTAAGTTTGTATCGCGATGATGGACAAGAGGTAAAATTATAGGTTGAGATGTTTCGAAAGGTTTTACCTGTGGATAATTGGGTTCGTGCGGAAGGGCAGCAGTGAATGTTTCGAGGATCTCTTCCTGGATACATCGAATGTGATTTTTTAAAACGGCGATACGGTGCGACGAGATGCAAGACGATGTCCAAGTCGGGGCACTTGCTCGTGGACACTTGGGCGATTCGAGGAGACGGCTGAAGGAGATGGTGCTTTCAAGTTGAATCGCGAGCAAGTCGTTGGGTGCAACCGGTATGGGACTGTACGCGGTACCCTCGCAACTCCAGAGTCTGGACAAATGCGACGTGAAACGCACGTGAACCATCCCGCGCGATTTACCAACATGCCGGTTGAGCCAAGGGCGGCGCGTCGCGACGCAGCGCATGCGCACATCCCGGAAATCGATCGAATGCGTACGCACTCGCACCGACGAGACGTGACGCGACGGCTATAGTTTGTTTACCTTTATTCAGCTCGGATTGGCCGTAAACTCCGCGTTTTCGTTTACCTTTTCAAGGACCAACGATATCCCCCTGGTCTGGTTCAGCCGCAGGACGCGCCTGGATACGCGTGCTCGCATGCGCGCGTTACCCACCGAATCCGCCAAAAATTTCATTCCGGTAGCTACCTGCTCCCATCACCAGCGAGTCGCCCCTTCTCTTCTTAATCGTACGCGCACCTCGTTACCATTGTCGTCGTTGTTGTTTACTCGGTTCCTTCCTCGAAAAGCAATTTCGCGGAAACAGAGAAAAGGTACGGACCTTCGATGTCCGTCGTGCACAAATTTCCGCTCGAAAAGAAACGACGGTCGTTTGTTTTTGGTCTACTCGGGCTGTTTACTCTCGGTACCCTGCCCTGCATTCGTCGCAGCGTGTCCGAACAGTAAGCAACGAATCGTAAAGAAAAATGTACGCGGCATCTACGGATGACAGAACGCGCGTTACGTTATTTTCCGCGGCCTGGCCTCTCGAAGCTTTCCGCGAATCTCTTTTCGATCGATAAACTCGCGACACCGAGTTTTCGCACAATAACGATGATCGGATTGGATCGAATTCACGATCGGGCTGAAAGTTTGAAACTTACCGCGAATGTGTAAGCATCGTCGACGAGCCTGAGAGTGCCAGGTTGACGCGGAGTCTTCCGTGTCGCGATCCGGCTCGCCGTAACCAGCGAGTTCCGCGCAACTTGCGATAAACGAGTCGGTGTAAATTCTTGTATCGTGCATCGTTTCGATATTCTCGTTCTCGCGCGCTAACGTGCTCGTCCTAGTCCTCGTCCTCGTCGTCGTCGCTGTCGTCAGAGTTTCTAGCACAGGTGTCGATGTCGCCGGTACCGTTAGATCGCGTCCGATCATTTCGATTTTTTTGGACTCCGGTGCATCCGTCGTCGGATTTTCTGCGCGCAAAGTACAGTCCTCGGGCGTGGATCGGTCGTAAGTCCTGTTCGCGCAATCCCGCGCGTCATCCTCGAACGTGGTCACGGTCACGAAGCCAAAGTTTCTTAACATATCGACGACCCTGAAACAAACGTGCGTTTTAACGTGCGGCTCGTTGTTATTTCTACGAACGGCCGACTATCCGTTTTTTTTTTTTCTAATCCGTATTTCACTGTTAACTTGTCGTTAGATACGTTAACGAAGAAAGCTGTAGGATTAAGCGTCGCGAAAGATAGAACGTTACGAGTCGAGTGACGAGAGTAGGCGGAACTACGGAGAACCACTAAAATTGGACTAAAGTAGAGTAACGGTTGAGACACGCGCGCACTCGGTGCGATATCAATTTTCGTGGAAAGTCCGAGGTTACGGGACTCGGCGCTATCGCGAGAGCAACAACCTTATCTAGGCGCGTGCATTTCCGTCTTCACGAAACTATCGAATACGTCTGCGACGCGGTCGCGAGGAGAACGGCCTCTTGGTAGCGAGCTATCGAACGAAATATGCGTATCTCGATACCAACGAACCAACACCAGCGAAGAAACGGTATTTCCAATTGTATTCCGAAACGTAATCCCTTCCTTCCTGCAAATCACACGTCTGTATCCTATTTCGCGTAATTACGTTTCGGAACCATCGAACCGAACGTGTCACCGCCAAGAAGAAACAATCGAAAGAGTTGGACCGAGGCTCGTCCTCCGACTTTTCACCGTGAATATTTTTCTATGGTTATCGAGACGTGGCGAAGCTAACAGAGGTTAACTCGTCTTTAAATTGATGACACGGATCTAAATTGATTGCGCAAACTTCAAAGGTACGTAGCGAACGCTCACACGCGATCGTTCCAAGTCCTAGTCCGGATGAATCCTTTAACATGTACATATACCGAGGGTCAGCATCTGTGTTCGTGTATCGACGAACGGTTGCCAAATAACTTGATTACTTGTAACAGTACAGCTGGTGAACGTTCATATTCTAACGAACCCGTCATAAGCCGACAAACAAAGAGAATGAAAAGGCAAGCTGAGAGGGCTTACACGTGAACATTTTTTACATTTCATCGAGTCAAATACTTGGAGCCGTAAAACTTGCTCTTGAGTTCTATAATGTTGGTCAAGTCTACGTCAACAACGCCAGAGAACGAAGCCCACCAGCCGAATGCTGGGTAGCGTGCGTACATATACGGTAACGTTTCTTCAGGGGCGACGTTATCGTAAAGCTAACAAGACATTCGCGCACTTTTCTTGAATTCGACCGAATCTATCACTGGACAAGAGTCGATCGACGCCGACGTAGGGCGAGACGTGTCGATTGCTTTGAATTGGCTGCACGCGACCCAACCGTCGAGGATTGCGAAAACGTCTTCGCATCGCGTCCGTAATCGGTAATTGTACGAGAGCCTTCGTCGAAATTTATTCGAAATTCGGTTTACGCGCTGGCACGTTCAGACCGCGTTCGAATAGCCGCGCGCGTTGCGAACCTCGAACGCAATTCGCCACCGTGGAAACGACGGGACGCGTGACGGGTTTCACGGCTCGGGCCGTCGTTGCGTCGACTTACGTCACTCGAAGATACTCGAATCCAGCCGCGCTTCGACGAGCTCGGCTGTCTTTTTTCTTTCTCGTTATCGCCGTTCCCACGGTTTATCGTGCGAATCGTCCGTCTTCTTCGCGATCGCACCGCCAACTTTACATTGCTAGATTTTCTTTGGTGGTTCCTGGCCGCGTCGAAACCGTTTCCTCTGAGGGATTTCGACGATCGATGTACTCGCGTCGGAACGTGTTACCGTCGGTCTAGGTATCGGTCGCGGACGCTGACGCGGACGCGGAAAATCGTTGACGAGCGTTACGCGACGGCCGCGATCTCCGTCGTACAACTGACAGTGAGAGGATCGCGCGCAAGAGCCACGGGCAGAGCTCGCGTCTCGTTTCATCGCGAATCGCGACGCAACGCAACGCAACGCAACGCAACGCAACGCGCAACGAGCTACGCGCTAATACCAATATACCGTCGAGACTACGCGTTCGATAGGTTTGCGATCGACGAAGACACGGCGCAACGTGGATTTTCGAGTCGATAACTCGGTTCTCGTTCTCCGTACCGTATACCGGTACGAGCCGTGATCGAGTCTCGCGAGAAGAGGCGCGCTAGGTCGCGCGCGGGAATTCTTTGACGAAAATAACGGCGTGACGCGAGCCGCGTCTAAAATTATTCGACCGTTCGCGAAGGGCTGGCGACGCGGGTCGAGGAGGAACGCGCAGATGTCTCGTCCATTCCCGTCGGTACCGAACACGGTACAACGTCGGCCGTTACTTTCGCGAGTTTGGTTCGTGGGTAATCGCGTTCGCGTTAAGAGTCGCAGTTCGCGGTTCGTCGTGCTTCGAGTAGCCGACCTGGGGAAGGCATGGAATGTTCCGAGGAACGTTACAGAACGCTGTGCTCGTTGGAGACGGTGCGATCCGGAAAGAAGGGATTTTTCCGTGACTTTAGCGAGCACGTATCAAGCGTCGCCGGCGAGGCCTGGATCGCGAAAGTGTTCGGTCGCCTGACCGACGACGAGAGTCGAATTCGGGCGTTGTTTACGGACCAGAAGATCAAAACCGCGGTACTCGATACTTTGAGCAGAACGAAAACTCTGTACAGAGCCAAAGACGCGAACGCGTCCAAGGCGCGTAGACTCGAGGGATTCGTGGCAGCGGCCGCGGCCGACCGAGAGAAAGCACTCTTGCTTTTCAGTCAAGCCGTGCTTCGCGCCCCGGTCCCAGGTATCCGTTGCCGTGTAACGATCTATATATATATATAGCGATATACAGGGTGTCCCAAAAGTCGGGGAGCAGCCGGAAATGGGAGGTAGCTGAGATTGTTGTTCAGAATCGTCTCAGCTACACCCCATTTCCGGCTCCTCCCCGACTTTTGGGACACCCTGTATATCTACCCACAGCTCTCGAACCTCTCTTCGTCTTACATACGCGTAATACCAACGATCCTATGCGATCGGTTACTATTTAATATACGCGACAAGGACGAGCGCGTCCAACGTTGAGTCGAGTCCGCTTCTGTTCCAGAGAAATGCGAGAAATCTGTCGATGCAGGGCTCGCGCTGCCGCTCGCGTTGCTCGGCCGAGCCGAAACATTTCTTGCCAGCAACGAGCACGTCCTTGCCCTGGAAGACTTGGCTCTGCTCGAGGAGATCGAGCTTCCGGAGCAGCTACGGTGAGTTTTACTTGCGCGTCTCTTGTTCAACCAATCAAACGAAACGATCCTCTTCGAGCGATCCGCTCTCTTTCAGGAAGGAGCTTGCAAGGAAAAAGGAGGAGTGCGAGAGATTCTTGCGGGCAAACGAAAAGAGTCTGATTACCGTTAAGGAACACTCGCAACGAGAAAAAGTTGCTCGCGTCCCCGAGACGAAACGTACGTGTATGTTTCGCTAATTTCGCGCGTTGAAATATAATTAATGTCAATAATAAATAATAAATAAATGATAAATGAAGCGAATCGATTTGGTCGCAGCAGCGCCGGGTAGTTTGACGGGAGGCGAAAATCCGCTACTTCCGGGCGCGTCGGCTCTGTTGGAAATCGAAGAAACCGCTCGAGCGGGGAAGCGAGCGATCGCGGCGAAAGAGATCGGTCCAGGCGACACGCTGGTGATCGAGCCACCGCTCGCTGCTTGCTTGCTACCAGAATATTTTGGCACTCACTGTCACCACTGTTTCTCGAGGTGAGAGATCGCGCCGTAGCACAGCCTCTGGGTAGCAACGGGTAGCAACCACGCGGAATTTTCTTGGTTCCAGATTGAGAAATCCGATAGGATGTCCGGACTGTAGCAGCGTCGCGTTCTGCGGCAGAGCGTGCAGAGACACGGCGCTCGCAACCTATCACCGATACGAGTGCAAGATCCTGGCGCTGGCGATAGGTAACGAGAGAAAGCTTCCGTCCTCGAATCTCTTACGAACGGAACGAGTGCGAAAAACGATCGATTCTTTCAATAGGTTCGGGGATGAGCGCTTTGAGCATGCTCGCGTTGCGAATGGTCACCGGTAACGGTCCGAGCAAGTGCGCCGAGATTTACGAATCGCTGAGACGTGGAAATCGCGAGTCCGAAGGTGCCGCGAAGTCGTCGTTGAACGATCGAGCAGAGACCGAGCCGTGGACGAAGCCGAGCAGATCGGCGAAACGACGAATTAGGAAGAAAAAGTTGCGCGACTCGAGATACCGGGACCGGGAGGCAACCGAAATCGAGGAACAACGCGAGAGCCGCGTCGATTTGCGTGCGTACGACCTGGTGAGCCACGAGAACGAACGAACGCCGACGGACTTGTTCGAGCGATCATTGATGGCGGCGTTCTTACTCAAGTGTCTGCAGAGAGTCGAGTTTTTCGAGAAACCCGCGAAAGACGATGGTACGAGCCGTGGCAAATCTATCCGGCGATCGAGAGTTGGCTCGATCGATTCCGTTTGCATTTGCTTTCAGCTCCCCCGGGCGAACGAGAGATCGGGGTGGCCGTGTTGTTGCTCAAGCATCTACAGTTGCTGCAGTTCAACGCTCACGAGGTGTTCGAGACTCGACTCGGGCCGGAACACCGGTTCCGTGGCAGCCGACCGATCTACCTCGGGGTGGCCATTTATCCCACGGTCGCTCGATTCAATCACGACTGCTACCCGGCGGTAACCAGGTAAACACACGGACGCACGCTTGGCTCGACAGTCGACTACTTTCCCGTTGGTTCGCGCAGGTACTTTGTCGGTCGATGCATCGTGATTCGAGCTATTCGCAGCCTGAAGCCCGGGGAAGTGGTCGCCGAGAATTATGGGCCGATATTCACCAAGAGAAACTTGGACGAACGCCGGCGAACTCTGGCCGGAAGATACTGGTTTCGCTGCGAGTGCACGGCATGTCGAGAGGATTGGCCTAGTTTCGAAACATTGACCAACGATCGCGTCAAGTTAAGGTGAGCGAAAATCTGATTTCTCCGGACGATCGACAAATACCGATTTAGCGAGCTACCGCGGGGAGAGCGGCAAGCTTGCGCGGACCTCGGCACCGGATACATCGAATGACGTCGAGAAAATCCCGCGCGTAAAACTACTCGCGCTAATCGCGAAACGCGATAAGCGAAGGCTACTAGGGGTTATCGGGCTACGGTTTTTAAAGCGCAGACTGGCCGAGATTCCGTGCTCGTGGTACGAACTTTACGCGATTTTTCGCGATAATTTCTACCTCGATCCAGAGTATTTCCGTCTCTGAATCGTGACGCCGGCGCCGCGCGGATCTTTTCGCGACTTTGTACGTTTCGCACGCGAAAATGAGAAGCCGGTCGAGATTCACCGGTTGTTCTCGAAGAGCGACGACCCGAAAAATACCACGAGTGGCGATCGACGCAAAGATCTATTCGAAATAAAACGAGAAAGAAACTCGACAGAGCAAATTGAAAAAGTTTGACGAGAGCGGTTTCTCATTCTGTGTCGCAGATGTCCGACGGAAGGATGCGAGAAGCTTCATAGGCTACCGCGGGACCCGAGCCGAGCCGTCGAATGCTCCAGCTGTCGGCGAAAAGTCGATCTGTTCGAATCGGTCCAAGGTTTGCGCGCTTGCGAGGATCTCTACGGTCGCGGATTCGCGGCAATGGACGAGGAGCAACCCGAGAGGGCCTTGGAGGCGTTCTTCGAGGTGGCGAGAATGTTTCACAGAATCGCGGTGCCTCCCCACAAGGACACGCACTTGGCCGAGATAGCGGCGAGCGCGTGCATGGCCAACGCTGGCAACGTTTGGCGTCAGATTCCTCTATCGAACCCGAATCGAACACAAACGCGTACCTCCTCCTCGTGAAATAACAAATATTCGCGACCTTTAGTCGAAATTGCGAATACGTAAGATAAATACCAACGTACTGTTTGTAAAGAAAGAAATAAATCGATCGAGCCTCCTCTTGACGTCCTATAATACACATATGTACACGTATACTCGCATTTCGTGTTCCATCTCTGAATCCAAGGAATCTCGCATTTCGTGTTCCATCTCTGTTTCTTCGCTGCGACACCTTGCAAAATTACATTTCCACGATTTTCACGTTGAAAATCCAAAGGAAGGGACGGTCGGGTATAAACGACACGTACTCGATGCTCGGTTCGTCGATTTTGCGATTTTTTTGGCATTTATTTTTTATAATGCACATGTTTCGTGAAAAAATTAAATTCCATATATGAAATTAGCTTTTTCAAAGTTTCGCTTACCGTATAAAATTCACTGGGTTAAAGGGTTTGGGATTCGAGGAAAAGGGACAAGGATGAAGGTGGGTTCGTAGGGTAGGCAGCCAGTCGATGGACGACGCCTCGGATCCGCCTCAATGACGCGGCGTGACGCGACGCGATGCGCTCGCCGAGGTCTCTCTCTCCTCCAAGAGGAGAGATCGACGCGTATCTTCGATTCGTACCGCATTCACTCCCAATCGTTTTCCGACCTATCCCGTAGTCCAAGACGATATTACACAGCGATCTTTTCGAGAAAAAAACTGAGTCGAACCTAATTGACTGTCGAAAAGTGGGAGTACACGTAGCGTCGTGTCGCGTCTCGTACCTGTTCTCCGAATCGCGCGACGATCCCTGGAAGAATCGCGTACCGATTCCCCGGGGATCGCGTTGGAGAAATTCGAAGCAGGATGGCGCGACGTCGATCGTCAAAATTGGACGATCGAGGAGCTCGACCGCGAAGCGACAAGGCCGCCTCGCGTATATCGAGCAACTTCCTATCCGAGCTCGATCGTCGTTCAACCGTAAGCGGTTTCGCCGTTGCGACGCACGCGTCCGAGTTTTCAGTCGCGATAGCGACGAGCAATGGCGATTACGATCGCGCGAGACTACGCAAACGCGAACACCGCGTTACATGTATTGCGCGAGTACGTTTTAGTCCGCTTGATTCCTCTTGTTCGCATAATTTCTTTGCTTCTATTTCTTGTTACTCCGATATTCACTTTCAACACATGCATTGTTCTTTTTTCGCATTCAATTACAATGTTCGCCTCGTAAGCGTTTACTTTCTTTCTTCGTTTTACTCTTTTCTTCGCCGTCGACGACTCTTTTTCAATTTTCTTCTCGCGTTCTTCTACTTTGTACTTCGTGGGAGGTCACGGTCGCGATAGTTTTACGAGAAACGGAATAGCGCGCGAAAAAAAAAAGACCAAAATCGACAGTTTACGTTGACGAACAACGTATATCTCTTCCATGGAAATCTTCGCTCTTTCGAGCACAATTTTCAATCTACCGCAAAGCAACGCGACCCGCGCCATGTATTCTCCCACTCGGCACGACACTCACGCGCACACTCTCTTCAGTTTCCGTGGTAGATACTCGTACCATTGCACGTTTCGAACCCTGTCGCGCCAACGAGAGTAGAACGACCAAGATGCTAGTCTTTACGACGATCGCGACGACGATAACGAACGACATTGATAACGACGACGAACAACGATAACGTTAACTAAGAAAAATAAACAAACGAGATCCAGCGTGCGTTTGAGCTAAAAAAGAAAATTAAGCAACTCGTCGGAACAAGTTGCTTTCGAAATTTCTGAAAAGAAAAATGTGTATTTTATTCTCCGACGATAGAACTACAAACTAAAATTTAAAAAAGTAATTACGTTTTCATGCAAAATGATATAAATCTCTCTCTTTTTTTTTCTCTCTCTCTCTCTCTCTCTTTCTCTCTCTCGCACACACTCTGTCGCTCCATCGATAAACCGCAAGGTTGTATCGATCGAGTCGCACCAAAAGGGTTGCGATGTCAGACAATCGATTGCGATACGTTCGGATTGTTTGCATCTCGGACCCACCAGGGGCACCGATTGCATCGTTACAATGGCCGATCGTAAAAGTAATCGCCGGTTCGCAAAACGAAAGAACGAAGAATTTTTTGGCGAAACCGTCTGCAATAAAACGTCTCGCTTGCTCGCGACTCGTCGCCAACGAGCAACGTTGTCGCGATCGAAGGCGGAGGACGAAGCGGGACCGAGCAAAGCGAAAACGACACGACGGATCTTCAATTTTTCAAACGTCATGAAAATCGAATCCCGCGTTCCGAAAAACGGAACAAATGCAATTGCCGTACGTTTACAGATTACGCGTACGGACTTAAGAAAACAGCTCCGCGCGCGGATATCGCGCTAAACTCAAAGACATATACGTAAAACGATCAAATGGGTTTGATTGAAAAGAAATTAAAACATATGAAACAATGAATACGAAAAACAAGAACAAAATTACCACTTTCGTCCATTCGAGTTCGTATCGTATCCCATCTCCGTGCTTCGATCATCTTGTCTTTTATTCGCGATTTCGTCCGTTTCACTGATCAAGACTTACCCTATCGTCTACACAGAATTGGTCGTCGTCGCGTTCGTGACTTTTCTCGTCTTTCGTCGTTCCCGCCGTTCCACGGATATCCTTACGCGGCTGCCGCTGCCGCTGACGCTACCGCTACCGCTACCGCTACCGCACACTGTTCCAACTTGAAACAAATTCAACGAAACTCGCCAACGTTTATTCCACATACTCGCGCCCGCGTGTTTCCGTTTCTACCGTACCGTATCGCTTGCGTTCTGCGACCAGCGGCTGCGCGCGTTCGAATCTTTCGACAACGGCGTCCAACGTGCCCGGTTGCGAGCCAAGATACATCGTCGTCGACGCGTCGAACACAAAACTGTATCTTTGCTCGCAGTCGTTCCGTTACAGTTTTGCGCGTATCCTCCTCGACGAATCAAAATTCCTGACGCGCGCTCACGCGCACGACCACTCTCTTTGTTCGTTTCCTGAGGAGAGTGTGAAGTGTGATGTTCATTTGCTGGTATATTTTTCCATTTTTTTTTAAGACTTTTTTTCAGATTTTTTCATTTCTTTTGTTATGTTGTTGCCATTGCTGCTGTTGTTGCTTCGGTGTATAACGGGTGTTGGTGTTACATATTAAGAGGAGTGGTTGCGTCGTAATGGTACCATTGACTCTTGGTTAAGCGTTGCTTTCGGTGGTGGTGTTCTGGACCGGCTGACTCTCCTGCAAAACACGCAAACCTCGTCAATCGTGTTTCTCCGACACGTTTCGTACAAAAAGTGTGTATTATATATATTTTTCTTTTACTATAGAGAAACAAGTCTCGCACAACAGAATAAGAAATAGATAGCAAACAACAATTAACGTATCGTATGCCCCGAGAGAAAAATATTAAAGTAAACGACAGAGATACCGGAAAGACTAGCGAGTCTAAAAATGTAATCGTGGACGAAAGGAGCATGCCGTACGTTTGAAATGAAAGTACGAAAGGAAAGGGATGTGGATGGGGGTACGGGTAAGAGAGAAGAAAGAAAAATAAAGCCACGTTACCTGTGGAGCAGGGGCAGCGGCAGGTGCATCCTTATCTTTAGGTGCATCCGACTTCTGCTCCGACTGAAAAGAGCACAAAAAGATACGTGCAATAGTGTGTGCCAAGCGCTACGTTACTTTACGAACGCTCGTTAACGGATCGAACACGCGATTGCCGCGGCAATCGTCTAACATTGCGGTTAATCGAAGGGCGAAAGCGTGCAGACCGTGTGCGCGATCCATCCACGAGAAGGCGAATACATATTTACAAATATCCCATATACGAGGAAAAGCCATGGATTCGGAGAAGGAGCGGTAACGACAAGAGTCTGTCTCCTATTAGTCTCTTCCAATACACTTTTAAAACTCGCGGATCGAGCATGGATAGAGTAGGATTAGAAATAGGGTTCGCTACCTTGACAAGCCTATCGGAAGCGTCTTCGGGGAATGTCTTGGAGATCGGGACTCGTGGACGTGGGGAAATGGGTAGAGGATTAGGTTTGTTGACCGCGTATCGATGATTTGCCCTGCTGATCCCTTCCTGGCTACTGGTTGGTCTTGGTGGCCGTGTTACTCGTCGTTTGTATCGGGGACGTTGTAAATCGTTGATCGTTAACGCGGCTCCAACTTCTTCGACGTCGGTCATCTAAATTTGCGAGCAATTCGTCGCGGATTGATGTAAAGTACGTAAAAGAGGCTCCGTCGTGAATCGAGGAACGAAAGGAGATCGATAGATAGATAGGAATAGCGAGTAAGAAACCATGAAACCTCGTCGCGTCGCATCGTCTAGCAAAAGAGTCGAGTTTCGTATGATACCACGTGAATCCTACAGCGTTGGTGAAAATACCTTTTACCAGAGACGCTACCATGCAAAATGCAGAATCACTGAGTTGCTAGAGAGGGATCGAGAGACTAGGCTCACAGGAGTTCTACGAGCGTCGTACGTAAAGATTCATCGAACGGATAAAGATATTTCTCAAATGAATGTACGTTATGTTGTTTGACAAGAAAAGTGTCTGTCGTAGCGTAATTCTCGACTCGACAAACAGAAATTCAAAAGATCGCCAAGGATCAAAAGAAAAGCCTTTACATATACGAAATGATAAAACAAACGAGTTTACGGACCGTGGGTTGTCCGTCCTGGCTTCGAGGGCGACGAGGAGGTCCGGCGCCTCTTCCTCCGCGAAAGTTGCGTCGGAAGTAACGACGAGAAGGTCCACCGCGTCCACGAGCGCCTCCACCGCGTTGAACTCCTCCGACGCTTCCCTCGCCTCCCTGTTCGCCGATCTCACCAGAGTTGTCGCCTTGTTGCTGCGCCGACGGCCCAGACCGTCGCGATCCACGATAATATCCGTCGTACTGCCGTCGAACTCTGTAACGTCGCTGCTGACCGCCGCCTTCTCCGACGTTTGCGTCGTCCACGGTCTTACCCTCGCCTGCGAACATGCCTTCGGCTCGTTTACACGCTCCAAAACGAATCATCGGACGGACACTCGTTAAACGCGTAAGAAATAAGGGAGAGAAGGAATGAAGAGAGAAAATTGTACTAACCAGCTTCGTAACCCTCTTGTCCTTCTCGAGGTCTGCGTTGAGGTCGACCGTTCCCACGTTTCTGGTTGATGTACCAATGAACTCCG